AGGAAATGATTCTGATTACAACCGTTGCGTATATTAGCTGCAACATATGAATCAAGATGCTATGACCGAAAACATTTGATTGAGAGATGACCGTTGATATATGATTAGCTGAATTTAGGTGTTTAGGCTGGCGTAGAACTAACTGGCCTGCAGAAGATAATGAAAAAAACACAGGTTTTAAGTCAGGATTTTTTTTTCTGATAAAAAGTACATTTATATACATGTTTAAGCCAGAATGATTTGAAATTTAAATATTATTTACGTACGACTTTAATGGGAAAAAAATAAGAGAAAAAAAAAATCACAGATTATATTACTACCTGTAGTTATGCACTCCACCAGTAGGTGGTGATATGTTCACATGAAGCTTTCTGAACTGTGGGGACCATTGAATAGATTTTCCTAAATGGTTTAAAGCCTTGTGAAGCTTCATCTCAGCATTACTAGCTCATATATTAAAACAGTTTTTTTATCTGATATCGAACTGGCTGAGATCTCACTAGTTGCATTTGTCTGCAGTGTGGCAGCCTTAGGCAAGGAGTTTAATTACGATCAGGGGCAGATTTTTGAAATTTGGGGCCCTAGGCAAAGACAGGCAGGGGGCCCTCTGACTTGAGAGGACAACGCATAGAGAAATGTTAATAGATCAGACATCCATTATTTTTCTAGGTTTTGTTTCTCTCTTCTTGTCCCTTTTCTTGTTGTTTTCACAATTCAAAGCTTCAGGCAACCTTTTTTTTTTACTATCTCACCTTAAGTGTTTAGATCAGGATCTTTTCTCATCTGGTTCTGCATGAAAGAACCAGGAACTTGTTTTGTTAAAAAATAAGAAAGATTTTCAAACTTTTTTCTTTAGTTTATTCATTTCCACTTTTGAAACCATTTTGTAAATTGACTCCCTTTTTAGAAACCTGATTAAAATTTGTCAAGTTCAAATATTGAGCTACTAGTGACGGATCCAGTAACACGGATGCGTCGGTGCATCCGTGAACCTATAGAGCACAACACTATCGGTGCGCGTGTGGTTTTAAGAAAGTCATGTGCCCGATACAGGAGTTGTTTAGTTTTATTATTATTTATATATATATATATATATATATATATTAGAAGTTTATAAAACTTGTTTCTAACTGACTGACTCACTAAACTGTTTAAAAACTTATTTGTCAACACAATGAATCTGATTTAAAAAAATAAAAAGCCTCATCTTTTGCATTTTATCATTAAAATTATCAAGAATTTTGAAGCAGCCTAAAAGGAATAGAAATTTCAGCCGTTGCGTTTTTATTTTTATTTTCTCATTGTGTCATCCTTCTCCTCTCAGTTATCACTCAACTTATCTGAATTAAAGTTCATATCAAATTGAGTCTTTATTTACTGTACTTATAGGATTTAAAATCCTAGTCCACAAGCATCCTCTTTCACACGTTCCCTAAATTTTCACGTTATGTTCACAATACGTTTGAATTATTTATTGGCTGCATCTAAAAATATCAAAGATATTAACAATTTAAACTTATATATAAAATAATACAATTTAACTTACAATAACTTAACTTAAATAATTGTACAACTAGGTCATCAAATCAGTTTAGTTTAGTTTAGTCTGTCCAATAAGCTGCCTGTAGTGTCTTTAAATGTCCAGCAGGTGTCAGTATTCTGTGAGACAGTATCAATATTTTGGCTTCATGATGGCATCCATCACTGGCTAATCCTGACAAAACTCCAAATTTATTTTTAACAGATTTTGTGGATTTATTTCCATCCAGAGAAGACAAGATGGAAATATGGATCCAGGTGTTTCCATTTGGAGGCTTCACTGTCAGCTCAGAACCAACCTTAATCTGCCAACTAGCTGCGATAATCACTAGTTTAACTGACTTGGTTTGTTAAAATCAGAAACATGTGGTTAAAGAACCGAACCAGCGGGTTTCAGGCTCAGCGGACTCCTAATGTGGACCACATGGTGCCGCTACAGCCGGAGGACTGAGACCGCCTCTGGACAGGTGAGTCATCCAGCTCCGAGTTCCTGGAGACTCGGTGAAAAATTTAACTCTGGTTCTGTCCGTTCGGTTCTTATTTGTATAATTAGAAGGAAAATAAAGTTGAAAAGCAGCGGCTGAACTAGGGTTCACGGGAAATTAGCTGTTAGCTCCGATGCTAACAAGCTAGCAGTTTAATGCTAACGAACTTTTCAGATTAAACCGGTAGTTTAACTTTGCTAACTGACCGCGCAGGTAAAATGCCTGAACCGACCCACCTGTTGCTTCCGGCTCGGTCCGGTGGCTGGTCTCTCTGGTTCTGGTTCTGGTTGTTGCTAGGAGCCGGTGGCGGTGGCGGGTCTGATCCGGTGGTGCTCGTGGCGCTGCTGACCTTCACCTCTGACGTCATGGCTCCACTCCATGTTCGTTTCCGGAAAGTTCTGTTCGGTGCCGGTCGGAAAAGATAAAAGGGTTTCCCAAAGGTCGGAACCACTGATCTTTATTAATTCACTGCACTGCTGATTGCACGAAAAAAGGGAACTCACCTGCCGCCATATTGGTACTCCCCACTCACACAGACAGCTGTCACTCAGACAGCAGCCATAAAAATTAATTGATTAATTGACTTGATTAATTGATTATTGATCGATTTATTAATTGACTTTATGTATTTTACTTTATCGATTGATTGATTTTATTTATTTTACTTTATTTATCGATTGATTAACTGTATTGATTGACTTGATTGACTTTCTTGATTTATTTATTGATTGATCGATTTTTATTGATTTTACTTGATTGATGGAATGACTTTATTGATTGAATCACTTTATCGATTGATTAACTTTGTTGATTGATTGATTATTTATTGATTGATTTTATTGATTTTACTTGATTGATTGAATGACTTTATCCATTGATTAACTTTATTGATTTACTTTATTGATTGATTGACTGACTTGATTGATTTTATTGATGATTTATTGATTGATTGATTGTTTTACTTTATTGATTTGATTGATTTTAATTGATTTATGGAATGACTTTATTGATTGAATGACTTTATCGAATAATTAACTTTATTGATTGATTGATTGACTTTATTTATTTATTGATTGATTGATTTTACCGGATTGATTGAATGACTTTATACATTGATCAACTTTAGTGATTTACTTTATTGATTGATTGATTTTATTGATTGATTTATTGATTTATTTATTGATTGATTGATTGATTTACTTTATTGATCTCAAAGTGGAGATATTTACTTGTTCAGCTAAAATAGTCAAAGAAGAAGAATGTGCCAAAGGAAGTAAAAGGTGCACAGGATATATACAGTATATAAAGTACGTCCTCATATGACTGCTGTTTTTTTGTATTTCTATAGTAGATCATTATACTGGGTTAACATGGGTATTTATATAGATGGATATTTATATATATTGTAGTTATTGCACTGGGTGACAGATATAGAGAAACAGATTATTGTGCCTATCTGTGTAGCATTTGGCTGCAAAAACAAGCAGTTGGTGGAATGAGGTTTCACTGGTAATTTCCCAGTCAGTGGATGAACTAACCAAGAAAATCCATATATACACTGATGGATCCTACAGCATAGTATGTAGCGTAACATTAGTCTGGCTATCTCAGACAAAGTGGAAGACATTGACTGAGTTAGCCATTCCCAAATTGGAGCAAATAGAAAGTAATTCACTGAAATGTCGGTGTAGTAATTCTTTATTAGATGGATGATGCAGTCATCATTGTAGTGTTTGTTGCATTCATGTGCTGAAATATATTGCATAGAGCAGTAATTATACCAGGATTATAAAAAATATATCTACATTCTGCATTTAAGATAATAATAAAAAAATATCTGTCAATATGCTCCATCCATCCATCCATCCATCCATCCATCCATCCATCCATCCGTTCATCCATCCGTTCATCCATCCGTTCATCCATCCATCATGTCAGCTTAACAGTTTAGATTTCGGGGAATAACATTATTTTAGTATTTGTACTTTTCCGCTTTTCATATTTTTCCAGATGGATAAAACTGAAACTCTATACCATACCATGCATGATATATCGCTGTCAGCATCGGTATCGACTGTTATTAGTCATTTTTTCATATAATAACATTTATGAAAACTTTACTATAAATAATACACTAAAGCGTATCTTTCAAACTATCTATAAATATAAAAATCAGTGTATTTTAATTGTCTTGCATTCTCATCAATAGGAAAGCATTTAATAAACATATTTTTTTTATTATATTTTTACATTTGCCCAGCAGATTATTGTTTTTAGGATATTCAGTGTGTTTGTCTGTGTTTTGGGCTTGACGTTATTTCTTTACAATGTTCCAGATACTGTGGGAGTTTTAGCTATAGGTTGAAGTCACAGTATGGGGGGGGGGGGAAATGTGCTGCTCTGTGTGCTTTTCTATTGTTTTTATTTAAAACATTCTTTCTCAATAAGAACATTTATTGTATGCATTTGAAAAAACACTTTTTCCTACTAAAGAAAATACAGACCTTCTAACCACATTATAAAACCTTGGAGCTAATTTTTAAACTTTTCACTCCACAAACTTGTTTAGATCTCCTCCTACTTCCTGACAGAGATAACAGCTGTTGTTTCTTTCGCTGCCACTAGATGGAGCTGTTTCTGACTGGTGGCCTGCTGACACCACGTTACCATGGGCAACCTGACACACACGCGCACACACACACACACACACACACACACACACACCAGTCCCTCTAACCAAACTTTAGCTATTCATGCTTTTCAAAATAAGAGCCCCTATTACAGAGCGGGATTTTATTTTTTAAAGGAGGAACTGTTGGATCATCAGTCATCGTATTTTGTCCCGGACTGACGTCACAAGCTAAATAAAGTATGTTGTCAATCAGTCACTTGGGGCGGTGTTCTGTCAGACTCTTTTCTGGCATCTTCCCGCCGATGGGAACGTCTGCTGGACTCTTATTTTCCTAAAACGCGGAGGTCAGCAGACTTCCTGTTATGTCTGGCTGTCGGAGGAGCGTGACACAGCCCTCCACCCCCCCTCCTCAGACAGACAGTCTGCAGCATCACACGGAGACACGCAGCTCAGCACCGCAGACACACGCAGCTCAGCCCGGAGGAGCAGCGCTCAGACCCGGTGAGTTTCACTGACTGAGTCCGCAGAGGGCTGCAGGGGAGCAACTGTTGATGCAGCGGGGACAGACTGTCATGGATGTCTTTGTCTGTCCTGTCTCTCTGTCCAGACTGTCTGGGTCTGTCCTCTCCATCTGCTTGGCTTTCCTTCTGCCCAGCTGTCTGTCTGTCCCTGTCCTCCTGTCCATCAGTTTACCTGATGAGGTCACTGTGTTGGATCTTCTATATCAGGACATCAGATATTGGAAAATGTGTTGCTTTTGTCCTCCTGTCTGTCCTCATTTACTGTGTCCCAGTCTCTCTTTGCTCCCCTGCCTCTCCTTGTCCAAATGTCTTCCTGCCTGTTCAGTCTCTTAGTTTGTCCCCTTGTCTCTCAGGGGTGAGGACGCTGCTGGACGCTGTTGAAGCTCATCTGTTTCTGATTAACAGAGATCAATACATTTTAGCTTCCTGTTCGTAGCCTCCTAACACCCCCTCCTCCTCCCATGGGGCCCCTGTGGCCCCGGGTTGTCTCCCTGTGTCCCCAGCCTGTCTGTTCTGATCTGGTCAGTGTCTCAACTGAAGGCAGAACCTTTGTTATCTGGAGGTCGGATCAACCTTCTGACCAATTATTGATGAAAAATGTTCGACTAAATATCGATCAGGAAGTGTTTGACAAACCTCCCCTCCAGGTCTGCGGGGGGGCCGGTGTTCTATCAGACCAGCATACCCCGTCAGACCAGCATACCCATAGTCAATACCTATTTATCCCTTTAGTTTATCCCTTAAGTTTTGTTCGGAAAAATACACTTTAAACTACCCCGACAGGCGTGCATCCCTTTAGTCGTGTACAAAAAAACAAATTACCTAGTTTTTGGTGTTTTTTGAAGCGTATGGCCATATGTGTCATGATTTTACCCACATGCAGTGAAACCAATCCACAGAGACACAGATGAAAAGTTTAAGAGGTTTATTGAAGAGTAAGGCTCGGTGCGGCGTTGCTCAGACCTCAGCTCGACCGGAACTGGAAGGTGAAGGGAAGACAAAACGATTAGTTCAGGCTCAGTGGGAAATTTCATTTGTGGATATGGTGGTTGACTCACGTTTCCAGAGAAGTTGTAGGATCTTTGACTCCAACCTGTGTGCTGTTTTCAAGTGTTATTCTGATTCGGTGGAGGGCGGAACAGGGTTTACCCAGAACTCGGATGGTTGTTGGTGATCAGAGAAACTGACTGCCACTTAGATTTCCTGCGGTACTTGAACGGGTCGTAATGGAGATGATTCCCTTGCTCAGAGAGTTAACTCAACGTCCTCTTCAAGGAAGAAGGATCCAAACCTCCTGTTTGAATCCCCAGCTCGGTTTGAGGCTCAGTTGATTCCTTCAGGGAGAGAAGGTCCGAAAAGATCCAGTTTGCAGGAAGACTTCCTGCCGAGAGGCAAAGACAAAAAAGAAGTTAAAACTCAGGGAGACAAGAGCTCAGTCTTACTCAGAGAAAACTCAGCTTGGCCATATTACCAAAAACTGGCAAATACTTTGGCGTCGAGGTAGTGGCAGTCAACAGCTTAAGAGCACTCCATTAACGAGGCAACGATCATCAGGTGTGTGAAGAAGCGGACCAGAACCAGGCGCCTCCTGCTGGTGGAAGGGAGAACAACACAAAAAGGCAAGCACACAGACTGGAGTCCTGGCAATATGACCTTAATTTGTATTTTTTTTTTTTTTTTTTTTGGACATGAATAAAGGGATACACGCCCATCGCCGTATTTTAAAGTCTATATTTCGTACAAAAACAAAGGAATAAAGGCAAATCTGATGTCTTGCCCATGCATATCAACCATAGGTATGCTGATCTGACAGAACACCGGCTCCACGGCCATCTTGTCATTTCCAACCGTTCTCCAGGCCATCACAAGGATCGGATTGGAGCGTTCTTATTTTCCCATCAGTCTAATCAATCCCAGATATGAGCTGCCCATTATTTTTTTATGCACATTTTTTGAACCCGATAAAGATTTTTCTTCCTCATTTATTGACATGGTAATGACGACACAGTGATGATAAATGTTACATGAGTCTCAGTTTTGAAAAAAAGGAAACTTTATTGAATTAATACCACAACAAAAAACAAAGAAAACTCAAGACATGGCTGCTAATCAGGGGGGATTTACTATTAGGCAATGCTAGGCAATTGCCTAGGGCCCCGAGTTCCAGGGGCCCCCATTAAACTCTGTTTACATGTATGGTTAATACAACTATCCCTTATTTGTGCACATTATGTTTTTGATAAAAATCCTTTTTTGCTAAACTACCATCAAAACACATATATAGAGCTTTAGTCGCTATATTTAGCCACTTTTCAGACCCCTCTAGCACTTTGATTTCTAAAAAGCTCCTAGCGCCAAATCTAGAGACTTTTTTCTGCTACTGGAGACTTTGGAGACAACATCTAAAAGCAGCGAACTCTGCTCTCCAGAGCGAGTAGATTGGTAACCCCGCCTCCTGCTCTCCTCTATCTTGTCTGCTGTCATGATTCATGCAGCTATTATTTCATCCAAATGAAAAATGGAGAACAGATAAGCAGATCATGGCTTGTCTACAGTGAAAAGAAGGACTGGGTTATTTACTTTTGCCGTCGCCTTATGTAGCTGCTTCTGCTGCCTCTGCTGCTCGCGGTCAGAAAGTAGCATTAGATCACACCCTATTATATCTCAGCAGTAGAACTAGTCAGACTGGGCAAATTTGGTAATAAAGAAACATTGAGGAAAAGACAGGAAACATCTAAGGCCTGATTTATACTCAGAAACCAGGTCGTCTGCATGTGTGTCGCAGTTAACGCAGATATGCCCCGCCCCTTCCACAGACACCCTGCTGAATTTCTCCAAAATTGTAGGTGAGCGCAGCCAGGAGGCCTCTGATTGGTCAAATCTACATCGCTCTACACTATGCGTATTCCCTGTTTGGTTCCTTACCGGCTTGTTTTGTTTGTATGACCGCTATTGTGGAAAACGACTCGTAAAGATGGACCAGCTAGAAAAGCGAGGTGCGTGAGAACGCTGGGACCCTTTTTCACCTGGATTCCCGCTCTTTTTGGCCCTCATGTCGCTCCGTTGTTACACAAACTTGCCTCCACTTCCTCATCGCCTCGGCCGTATCTAGACCCACAGCTAGTTCCTGATTGGCCCTCTGGCATTGTGGCGTTGAATAACATAGCGCAGACCATGCTTAAAAATTGGGCATAAATCAAAAAACATCTGCAATAAGCTCACTGCGACTCACTGCTGCAGGAGGATAACCAGGCCTTAAGGCCTGAGACGGGGTGATTAAGGCTTCTAAACACTTTACTCTGGGGTTCCACAAGGTTCCAATGAAGGGCCCTGGCTAATTTAATCTTCCAGAAGGCTTTAAAATAAGAATCGTTAATCTGTAGGAATCGGTCAGCTGTAAGGTAATAACTTCCAGTAAGTCTCTCAGGATGGATGCGGTTTGTTGAAAGGTTCAGATCAGATCACAGACAGATAGCCTCGTGAGACCATCCCGATCTCGCGAGCTTTCAAGGTTTCACTCCCAGATCAGTCTGGAGACTCTCCGTTGAAGAAAATTTGGAGCCGTTCACCAAACGAACGTCCAATCAGCGTTGGCTTTGAGGCGGGTTGAGGTGTGACGCAACGAGAAGCGCGACAGTTCAGTCTAAAGAACATGGCGGCTTCAGCCGATGAAACTAGCGTTAGCGTGGCTATCGAGCGAGTTTTATGGGAATTACAGAGTATTTCTTCACTGAAAGAAGAGCAAAACACTGCTCTGGAGGCTTTTCTCAGAGGAAAAGATGTTTTTGCTCTTCTCCCGACTGGTTTCGGTAGAGTAGCCTGGCTGTTAGTACGTCATATGCTTCGTTGATCTGATTGGTTTATTTGGCCCGTCTATCACCAACATAGGCCAATCAGCTAACCAGTATTTTCGCCTCTTCCCAAAATTACTTCAATGGAAGGTTGCGGAGAAATCCATCTGGCGGAGTCAGGTTAACACACAGATAGATCTCCGTTAGTTATCTGATCTCTTCTTTATTTTCTCTCTTACTGCTGTGCTGCAGCCCTATAACCCCCCCCATCCCTGGATCGGGCGACCATGTCGATTCTCGGCCCGGCCCCCAGCAGCGCCGACGCCTGCCTCAGCATCGTCCACAGCCTGATGTGTCACCGGCAGGGTGGAGAGAACGAGGGCTTCGCCAAGCGCGCCATCGAGAGTCTGGTGAAGAAGCTGAAGGAGAAGAAGGACGAGCTGGACTCGCTCATCACCGCCGTCACCACAAACGGCGTCCATCCGAGCAAGTGTGTCACCATCCAGAGGACGCTGGACGGACGGCTGCAGGTAGGAACGATGGAGGAACATCTGACAGATGCCTGTTCCATAACTCCCACTGGCCGTCAAATTGACGCATGACATTTTCCCCAATGGAACGTATGAGTAGTGATGATGTCATCAACATTTAAAGGATGTATTCTATGCTATTATTATTACCAGATCATCCAGTTAGATTGATTAAGAGTTTTCTATCTAAGGAAAACCAGCTGATTGCATCGACTCATTGACTCTTCAGCAATCCCTCACACTAAGCATGCTTGTAGCGACAGTGGAGAGGAAAAACTCCCTTTGAACAGGAAGAAACCTCCAGCAGAACCAGGCTCAGTGTGAGCGGCCATCTGCTGAGGCCCACTGGGGTTCAAGGAGACAGAAGCAGACAAAGAAAAAGAAGCATAGATACAAAAGGCAACTGTCAACCAGCTCCATAGGCGGCCCCGTCCAGGAAACACACAGCCAGGCAGACGAGCTCCGAGCCAGCTCCCATGTCAGAGGATGAAGAGAGCACATCCAGTTAGTCACAGTCAGAGAAACAGGACTACACTGGAAAACAGGCCAAGCTCCAACATCTAGAAACAAAGGTGTTGATGGCAGCAGCACAGCTGATATTTCTCTCCAGGATGGAGTCACAGCCAAACAGGAACAGACCAGATGAAGCTACTATGAGAAAAAGCAGAGAGAGCAGAACGTTAGAGATTGAACTAACAGATTCTGCAGAGTGGGAGAATAGAGATAGAATGAAGCAGAATGATGAAAAAGGGGTCCCTATGTCCTCCAGCAGTCTAAGGCTATAGCAGCATAACTATAGAGATAGCTCAGGATAACCTGAGCCACTCTAACTAGAAGCTTTATCAAAAAGGAAAGTTTTAAGTCTAGCCTTAAAAGTAGACAGGGTGTCTGCCTCACGGACTAAAACTGGTAGTTGGTTCCACAGGAGAGGAGCCTGAGAACTAAAAGATCTGCCTCCCATTCTACTTTTAGAAATTCTAGGAACCACTAGTAAACCTGCAGATTGAGAGTGAAGTGCTCTGTTAGGAACATAAGGAACAATCAGATCTCTGATATCAGATGGAGCTTGGCCATTTAAGGCTTTATATGTGAGAAGGAGGATTTTAAATTCTATTCTGGATTTAACAGGAAGCCAATGAAGAGAAGCCAGGATAGGAGAGATATGATCTCTCTTTTTCATTTTCATCAGAACTCTGGCTGCAGCATTTTGGATCAGCTGAAGGCTTTTAACTACAGTTTGTGGACTTCCTGATAGTAAAGAATTACAATAGTCCAGCCTTGAAGTAACAAATGCATGGACTAGTTTCTCAGCATCACCCCTGGACAGGAGATTTCTCATTTTTGCAATGTTCCTCAGATGAAAGAAGAAAATTCTAGAAACCTCTTTGATATGGGATTTTTAAAGCCTGTTTCGCTAGCAGGTTCCCAATGGAATTTTCCATTGGGAACCTGCTAGCACTGAGTTGCTACCGGTTAGCATCTTAGTGCTAGTAGGTTCCCAATGGGAAATTCCATTGGGACCAAGTAGCACTAAATTGGTGACTTAGAAATGACGCTGTCAAGGAACGCTATGGACAGCGGAAACATGCAAGAGGAGGAGAGTTTAGTGTCGGAGGTCGTGGATGAGTCTCCTCCGTCATCCATTTTTTATTTAGAGGAGGAAAGCGGGGACGAAGATGTTGTGGAAGAGGACGCCAGGGCGGCAGAAGCTTGGTTTGGTGTAGAAGGCTTCCAGCCGTACATGTTTGAGCCCTTGCCTCGCAACGCTGCCAGTTCTGTTAGCTCTACGCCTGCCGAAGACACAGAAGTCCATCCCCGTGAACACTGGGACGCAACTCAATGGGAAAGGAAAGGATTCTGATTTCAACCGTCGCATATATTAGCTGCGACATATAAATCAAGATGATATGACTGAAAACATTTGATGACAGATGACTGTTGATATATGATTGGCTGAATTTAGGTGTTCAGGCTGACGTAGAACTAACTGGCCTGCAGAAGATAACTAAAAAAAACACAGATTTTAAGACAGGTTTTTTTTTTAAATATACATTTTCTAAATTTTAGGACAATATGGTTTGATAAAGAGTACATTTATATACATGTTTAAGCCCGAATGATTTGACATTTAAATATTACTTCCCTACGACTTTAAAATATCAGAACTGTCAAATTGACGGCCTTAGGAGTTCTAGTGCTTCATATTGCTTTCCTTTCCAACCAGCAGGGGGCTCTGGTGGCGCCGTCGTTTACAGTCAGGAGCGCCGATGTTTAACCGAAAACATGGAGGTTCTAACCCGAGGCTCGGTGTGTCGTCAGCATTTAACCATGAAACCGAGCCAAACGTTTCTCTCTGATGTCCTGACGGTGATCCGGTGGGCCAGGTGCTTCATGTGCAGCAGATGGAAGATAATAATCAGGCAGAGCCGCGGCAGACACCGGGGTGTGACTCATAGCAGCAGTAATTATCACAGCAAAGACGCTTCAGAACCGACTCGCTGCTCATCGCCCTGAAGAACAGCTTAGCTCCAAGCTAAGACCCGCCTCAGGACACTACAGCTAATCTAACAGGACAGCAAAAACCTTCAGAACCGCTCTCAGACCAGATAAGGCTTCAGGTCAGAGGTCAAGAAGCACTCTACAAACCAGGAGCAGGGTGTTTAGTTTTGGTTCCAGCCTGTAACCAGATCTCTGAGGACCCAGAATCCAGCAAGAAGGAAGGAAAGCTTTTATTAGAGCCCAGAACTGCTCAGATCAGGCGGTTCTGAGGGAGGAGGCCGGTACTGGATCTCCTCTAAGGGAGAACCAGGAGAAAATGTTATGGAGAATGTGTCACAAGAAGACAACAGGAGCTGCAGCGGGGAGAGCAGGCTTTGTTCCTCTGGGATTCAGAAGCCCTGCTGCTGGTTTTACTGGGTCGAACTCTGCTTGCAGTCCTGGTGTTACTGGATCCTTGGAGCCAGAGCAGTCTGGATGAAGGGAGGAGGAGGAGGAGGAGGAGGAGGAGGAGGAGGAGGAGGAGGAGGAGGAGGAGGAGGAGGAGGAGGAGGAGGAGGAAGGGCGGCTGGCTTGTTTTGTCTGAAACACAGGAAAGGGGCTGGGTTAACTAAAGCCAGACAGTGTGTGTGTTTTATGTGGGTGTGTGTGTTTGAAGGGGGGGGGATCGTCGACTCGTCTCCTTGATCTCACACCACAGAGTTTCCACGTTGTAAGAAACTCCGCCTGGTTCAAGGCTGAAGTTTCCACATGCCGCCGTTTGATCCAGAGCAAACCGGTTCTGGTTCCTTTCAGAGCCGGGTCACAGAGGAAATTCCAGCCCGAGTCGGATGGACGGTTTTAACTGTGTCCCTGTCCCCCGTGCGGAGTGTTGTGTCTGCTGCGTTCCCTCCCTGCCCTTCACCTGTGCACACACAGCGCTCTGCATCATCCCCGACCCGCTTCGCATTCACACCGACTCGCATGCGTGGCGTGGGACATGGACGCAGCCTCTATCCTCTCTGAGGGGCTTCAGGGTCCCGTGAGACGACCCAAACGCAGCAGCCCAGTATCCTGCCCTCAGATCAGTCCAGACTGTCGAAGAAAACCAGACACTTAGTCTGAGTCAGAACCCGTTCTGGTTCTGACCTAAATGGGTTGGGTTCATAACAGCTGTGCTACCTCAGTTCTTTTTTAGTCAAAGCGTGGGGGGGGGAATGTAGCTACTCAGGTAAATGACTTTTTACAGGAAAACAAGTTTCTGTAAATTTTGCTCCACAGAAACATTTTAGTTAAAATCCAAAGACATGTTGATGGCTGCTGGTTCTGGGACCACGATATTTGGGTTTTACTAGCTGCTGATACTGCGGATGGGGGGGTTTACCATCAGGCAATACTAGGCAGTTGCCTAGGGCCCCAAGTTCCTGGCCCCATAAAACTCCTTTAAGTTGTATAGTTGATACAACTATTCCTTATTTCTGCACATTAATTATGTTTTTGATAAAAATCCTTTCGGTAAAATGCCACCAGAACGCTGATAATATTAAAGGTACACTATGCAACCGGTGTTGATTTTCCAGCGAGGCTCCCCCCAGAGGGCGAAAGTAAAAGTGCACTGTTGTAAATATCCTCAGCTGTTCTCCTGGTTTCTCCGTCAAGCCAGGTGCGGTTGTTTTGAGCTTAGCAGACAGGCGAACGCAACGAATCACCATGTCTACTATTTTGTTCCAATTTTCGAGTTTGAAAATTTCGCTGTTTTCTTGCTGGTTCCGCCATGATAACTGCACAAATATCGCCACTGCGCTAGCAACGAGCATGCCTTTCGCTGGGGGCGTGTAGCAGTTCTCGCCGTAAAGCAAGACCGACTCTCGCGATGCACGAGACTTCTGAGCCTGTGGGTGCGGGCCGAGGGCTCCTGCAATTGCAAGTACGGTATTTCCCCTACAGACCACCAGGGCGGCCGAGAAAACCTTTGTTCGACCTGAAATGAATCATTTAATCCTCCAAAACGTTATGGAACACATTAATTAACTGAAAAATGTTGCATAGTATGCCTTTAAGTGTGTCTTAGCCCCCCCCCCTTCTGTGTCCAATATATTGGATCAGTCCATTTGCTGCACATGGTGCGCCATAACCAAGTGGCTGGAGTACTATACAGGAACATCTGTGCAGAGTACGGGCTGGAAACCCAAAGGTCGAAGTGGGATACGCCTCCAAAGATGCTAGAGATCCTGCGGGACTTCCAGATACAGACGGACTGAATGATAATGGCAAACCAACGGGACATTGTGTTGGTGGACAAAAAGCAGAGGAAAGCCTTTGTGGTTGTCATAGCAATACCAAGCGACTGCAACATCAGGAAAAAGGAACACAAGAAACTATAGAAATACCAGGGGCTTTGCTTTAATCCCTGCATTCTGTAGTTGTCACTATATAACTGTTGATTAAAAAGTGAGAAATGGTAAATAAGGTCAGATTCCTTGGTTGTTCATCAAACTTGGCCATTAGAGTTGATTCTGTCTCACCTGTCCCTCTCTGTCTGTCTCACCTGTACAGGTAGCAGGCAGGAAGGGCTTTCCTCATGTGATCTACGCCCGTCTGTGGCGTTGGCCCGACCTGCACAAGAATGAGCTGAAGCACGTGAAGTTCTGCCAGTACGCCTTCGACTTGAAGTACGACAGCGTGTGCGTCAACCCGTATCACTACGAGAGGGTGGCGTCCCCAACATCTACAGGTGAGCAAAGTTAATATTTTAACGGCTGATTGTAGGAGAGGAAATAAATGTTCCTGTCCAACATTTTAAACATGGACTGTATTATTCTCAGAAAAAACTGGAAACAGGTGCAGCTGAATTGCACATTCCCATGTTCAGTACAGCAGCGCCCCCTGCTGTCTGTAGTCAGAAACCTGGAGCTGAGTCAACAAGTTATCACAGGAGGTCTGTTGAAGTCGTGGGGAAATCATATTTAAATGTCAAATCTTTCTGGCTTAAACATGTATATAAATGTACTCTTTATCAGACCATATTGTCCCAAATGTTAAAAAATCCTGTCTTAAATTCTGTAGGGTTTTACATCAGTTCTACATCAGCCTGGACACCTAAATTCGGCCAATCATATATCAACGGTCATCTGTCAATCAAATATTTTTGGTCATAGCATCTTGATTCATATGTCGCAGCTAATATAAGCAACGGTTGAAATCAGAATCCTTTCCTTTCCCACTGAGTTGCGTCCCAGTGTTCACGGGGATGGACGTCTGTGTCTTCGGCAGGCGTAGAGCTAAATGAACTGGCAGCGTTGCGAGGCAAGGGCTCAAACATGTACGGCTGGAAGCCTTCTACACCAAACCAAGCTTCTGCCACCCTGGCGTCCTCTTCCACAACATCTTCGTCCCCGCTTTCCTCCTCTAAATAAAAAATGGATGACGGAGGAGACTCATCCACGACCTCCGACACTAAACTCTCCTCCTCTTGCATGTTTCCTCTGTCCATAGCGTTCCTTGACAGCGTCGTTTCTAAGTCACCAATTTAGTGCTACTTGGTCCCAATGGAATTTCCCATTAGGAACCTGCTAGCACTAAGTTGCTAACCGGTTAGCAACTTAGTGCTAGTAGGTTCCCAATGGGAAATTCCATTGGGAACCTACTTGCGAAACAGGCTTTAAAAATCCCATATCAAAGAGGTTTCTAGAATTTTCTTCTTTCATCTGAGGAATATTGCAAAAATGAGAAATCTCCTGTCCAGGGGTGATGCTGAGAAACTAGTCCATGCATTTGTTACTTTAAGGCTGGACTATTGGAATTCTTTACAATCAGGAAGTCCACAAACTGTAGTTAAAAGCCTTCAGCTGATCCAAAATGCTGCAGCCAGAGTTCTGATGAAAATGAAAAAGAGAGATCACATCTCTCCTATCCTGGCTTCTCTTCATTGGCTTCCTGTTAAATCCAGAATAGAATTTAAAATCCTCCTAAGTCACCAATTTAGTGCTACTTGGTCCTAATGGAATTTCCCATTGGGAACCTGCTAGCACTAAGTTGCTAACTGGTTAGCAAGATGTTTCCGACAAACCGGTGTAGGTACCAGATTGACTCGGGCTGCCAGATTGACTCGGGGGCCTGCACCTTTTGATGACATCATAATATGGCAACTCCGCCCGTCACTATATGTTAACGCCACTCGTAACGATATGGCAACTCCACTCAAACAAACTACATTGCGCCCGCGGTCTCTATTTGTCTATTTATCTATTCTCGTTACAAATGCAGACCGCGGGCTCAATGTAGTTTGTTTGAGTGGCGTTGCCATAATGTGACGTCATCGGGAGGCGCAAGGCCCATGGCGAATTCGGTGACGTCATCGGAAGGCGCAGGGACCATGGAGAATTTCTTCGTAAAATTGTCCGTTTACAAACCGCAATCCCGGTTTCGAATAAAACCTACAACCCGCTATAATTACTTTAGTAAGCTGTACAGACCAATCAAAATGTTTTGCGCAATTGTGCAAACGTTAAAACAATTATGTATTGTGACGTCATCAAAAGGCGCAGGCCCCCGAGTCAATCTGGCAGCCCGAGTCAATCTGGTACCTACACCGGCCGCAACCAAACTTGCTTGCGAACCTTCCGCCACAACAATCCCGCCCTGTTTATAATCGACCAATCACATTCACTTTATTCACTCGTGTAAAGTCGGGCACCACTCGGGAGAATTTGGAAATGCAACAGTTGGAACAGCCGCTTCCCTACGACTTTAAGGCAGAAAAACACCGGTTGCATACAATTGCTTAATCTGCTTTTTTCCCACAAAAGGCTCAGACTAGGCAGGGTGAGCAGATCTGCACAGATTGTTTTCACTTCTGTCTCTGTGCTACTGTATATACGCATTAAAATAATTTCCCACATTTGCCTTGGACAGATTATGAAAAGTCATTCTATGAAGAAAAGCGAGTCAGTGCAGCATCTCAAACCAGAACAGATAGAGAATGTTCATATATCAAAAACGTAATGAGATCTACGTCGAAAGAAAAGAAAAACAGCAATAAACGGCATGGGACGGTTTCTATGGTGACTGAGGCAGGGAGGTGATTCTCAGAGAGAGATCTGGGAGGTTTATCCAAGTTTTTCTTTCTTTTATTCATAAAAAGGTGAGAGAGATCGTTACTTTTTTCATTGTTTAACTTTTTTCTGTCCTCCTAAACTCCTATCATGTGTAAAGTTTTCTAGTTATTGTTTCACTCATAGTTTTTGCTGCAGTTTGTCCTGTTTACTATATAAGCAACGAGTGACTCCAAAAGTGATTCTTTCTCCGTGAGATAAACAGATTTTATTTAGTATTTTCCTCCAAAGCGGAAGTGTTTTACTTTTTAACCGCGTCTCTCTTCCTGTCAGACCCATGGAATTGCTGCTGAATTGCTGCGTTGTCCGACTAAAATAGACAGGGGCTCCGTCTCAGTCGGAGCTACGCTGCCCTCTAGTGTAACTTTGTGTGAGGTGTGATCATCCCAACTGACTTTCAATGAGAACTAAACGCCACCACCAACTAAACGCACGATTTTCTGTCGGATCGAACACAGAATTGGATTCGGGTATTCTGGCCTTTAGTTCACTGCAAAACAGAAATCTAAATAAGTAATATTTTTATTTATTTATTTATTAAATCAACATAAATGACAGCACAGGATACAGTTAATGCACCAACCCAAAAGCCTCCCTCCCCTCACATTCATTCACCCACCTTGAATGAATTCATTCGTCCACAAATTACATTTTCTGAATAAACATTGGAGAACTTCTCATCTGTTTTTGTATTTTCTGGCTTCATTGTCAGTTTCAATAATAGAATTTTCTAAAGTTAAAAAATGATGAACAAATGAAATTAATTTTAAAGCAATAAATACTAAATGAAAATCTTATATCTCATTTCAAATCTATTTTTTTTTTACAAAAGAGGAGGAAAGTGAGACACTTTGCTAATGGAAAAAAAGACAATTTGCATTAAGAATAAGAGAAAATATTGCATTGTCTTATTTCAAGTGCATATTATCTAATTATCTTATTTTGAGAGGAAAAACTGCTCATTCTATCAGCAAATCATCTTATTTACCTGCTCAAATGAAGGGAAAACACACTTAGTATCAGACATTTTTCCTTATTTCTCGATGGTTTTTGCAGCGTAACATCTGGAAAGATCTGATAGAAGGTTACTTCCAGCCAGCAGGGGCCGCTGTTTCTGAAAACATCAAACATAACCGGCTGCTGAGTAAAGTCTCTGCCCCCCCCTCATTCAGGTCCTCAGTCTCTGATTAAAGAAGAGTTCATGCAGGACTGTCTGCAGCTGGACCTGCCCCCCCATGCTGACCTGTACGGCCAGTCCCACCCTGTCAGCATGTATCCCAGCATGCCCCTGTCTCCTCCAGGTAAGCATCTGCTGTCTGTCCTCACCTGTGATTCAGGATGTGAAAAGTTTTGGCGTGTTGGTTTCCTGCAGGAAGGAACTCCATGACGTGCGCAGCTCCGAGCGCTGCGGGTATCGGCGCGGCTCCAGAGGAGCCTGGGCTCCTGCAGATCACCATGCCCCAGAACCACGGGGGTCGGACCTCCCCACCTCTCACCCCACAGTCTGCTCACCCTGCTACGCCCACCTCCCCGCACCAGCAGAGCCCAGATTATAGCGGCACCCCTGTAGCTGGTAAGCCCTGTTAAATTCTCCTCCATCTTCATGTCACACCTACAGAGGCAACATTTGGCGCAGCTAACTGACAGATTAGCTTCAGTCACATGTATTCTGCTAGAATATTAGCTTCACTTCAGGCTTGCAAATCCTGCTGAGGCAGCTTTCACTCAGGGTTACGAGATTTTACATATACAGTGTACATGAACATTATACATTAAACTCAACATAACATAGAGCTTTCACTTGGGAGCTATTCATCTATTTGGCCTTTGTCCCGTCTAGTTTATCTATTTTTTTTATCTTTGTCGCTGTCTTTTGTCTTGAATCTTGTCCATTTCCTCCACTTTTCTTCCATTTGTATGTTGAAGTCTTAAACGATGTGTCAGCTTTTCCATAATGTAGATTTCTTCTATTATTCCAGTCCACCCAGGTCATATTTTTCCAATGAATGCAACATAAAATCTGTCTGTTATTCACTAAAACAGTCCGAATATCAAGCTAACCTGTGTACAAACTGTAACAATGGCCGTTTCTCAATCTGCGTACTTGTGCGTTCTCGTGTACTCGTGAAACGTTCACAAACCTCAGCCATAGTACTGTTCCAATTTACAAGAAAAGCAGATCGAGAACGGATGGATGTTGTTCTCACTCCTCCCTCTTTACCCAGCATGCATCAGAGCAGACTTGTCCGTTCTCCAGATTGACAGTTGTCCCAGCATGCACTGCTGCAGCAGCAGCTTCTAGGTTAGCGCTCACAGAGCTCAGAGCATTAAGCTAAAAGTTTTTCTTTTCTGTTGCTGTTGTTCAATAAAAGTACGTTTTAAGATCATTTGAGGCGAGAACATTATACTTTAAGCATCACTATATGGCCCATTTACCGATTTAATCCGTAATTTTAAAAAAGATTTCTGAAGTTGAGAGGACCGTGGCAACCAGCGCACCTCCGAGGCTAACCTCGGCCAGAGCTAACAGCAGCCAGGGCTAACGTTAGCTCGTCTGCAGCGGCCAGGGCTAACGTTAGCTCGTCTGCAGCGGCCATGGCTACCGTTAGCCCGTCTGCAGCGGCCATGGCTAACGTTAGCTCGTCTGCAGCGGCCATGGCTAAAGTTAGCCCGTCTGCAGCGGCCATGGCTAACGTTAGCTCGTCTGCAGCGGCCATGGCTAAAGTTAGCCCGTCTGCAGCGGCCATGGCTAACGTTAGCTCGACTGCAGCGGCCATAGCTAACGTTAGCCCGTCTGCAGCGGCCATGGCTAACGTTAGCCCGTCTGCAGCGGCCATGGCCATTGAACACGGTAGCAGCAGAAGCATCTGGACGGACTTTACTGGACGTCTCACCTTTATGTGGACAAGCATCAAAAATTAAGCAGCAGGAGCTTTTTTGCTGCTTTCAGCTCTTGCAGTCCGAACGTAGCATTATTCTTTAAAATAAGCCCAGCTACTCTCGATTTCATCCACCATCGTTAAAATGCAAAGAAAGGATAGGGTAGTTCCGCCCAACTCAAGGGGGCCAATCAGGAACTAGCTGTGGGACTTTCTCACTTCAAAATATATTAAAATCAGTTTTTACCCACTGATCACAGCAAATATAGCTGCCATTGTTATAAACAAGGAAAGGATAGGCTAGCTCCGCCCAACGCGCATCAGACCCACTTTTCGACCGCGCAGCTAGAGCAGCAGAGATGCTTCAGCCGCGCGTCAGAACTAAACTTGTACAAGCATCAAAAATGAAGCCGCATGCGTGTTCTCGCTGCTCAGCTGTTCCTGCTGCGTGTGACCTGAACGTAGCTTTAGAGGGATTGACTCTAATTCTGTTGTGTCTCTGCAGCCAACTGGGCAGGTAATGGCCCCGCCCCCTATACACCCACAGGACATCAGCACAATGGGCGGAGCCACACGCAGCAGCCGGCACTACATCACCACCACACCCCCAACACCCATTTCTGTATGGCACCATGGGAGTACTACTGCAGGACATCTGGTATTGAATTTTACAGTGAAGCTCTGTAATACTGAGTTAGTATTTGTCCCTGCAGGGTCACAGCAACACAGTACTCCTCCATTTCCACAACCCGTCTCCAATCATCCAGGTGAGACACAACAAAAGTCAGGTGTCTCTGCCTCTGTCACCTTTTACTCCTCTCTTTCGTGTCCTTCCTATTTACGTCCTGTAGGTCCAGAGTTCTGGTGCTCCATCTCCTACTTTGAGTTGGACGTTCAGGTCGGTGAGATGTTTAAGGTCCAGTCCAGCTGTCCTCTGGTGACGGTGGACGGCTACGTTGATCCGTCAGGAGGAGATAGATTCTGTTTAGGACAGCTGAGCAACGTCCACCGAACTGCAGCTAGCCACCGTGCCAGGTGACCATTCACACCAGAACCAGCCACTGTGTTCAAACCAGTTCAGTCAGTTTGGGGAAGACCCTTTGAGTTTAGATTAACCAAGGTTGGTTCATTCTGTTCCAAAACCAGTTCAGATTTCAGCGTAGAGAACTGATCATAATTTGTTTAGGGTGGGCACTTTAAAAGGATTTCGACCAATTTAAACCAGTTCAATCAGTTTGGGTTAGACCCGTTTAGACCATCTTTTTAGATTAATCCAGATTGGTTCATTCTGGTCCAAAACCAGTTCAACTTTCAGTGTAGAGAACTGATCATGGTTCGTTTAGGGTGGGCACTTTAAAAGGATTTCGACCAATTTAAAACAGTTCAGTCAGTTTGGGTCAGACCCGTTTAGACCATCTTTTTAGATTAATCCAGATTGGTTCATTCTGGTCCAAAACCAGTTCAAATTTCAGTGTAGAGAACTGATCATGGTTCGTTTAGGGTGGGCACTTTAGATGGATTTTGACCAATTTAAACCAGTTCAATCAGTTTGGGGTAGACCCATTTAGACCATCTTTTTAGATTAATCCAGATTGGTTCATTCTGGTCCAAAACCAGTTCAAATTTCAGTGTAGAGAACTGATCATGGTTCGTTTAGGGTGGGCACTTTAGATGGATTTTGACCAATTTAAACCAGTTCAGTCAGTTTAGGTTAGACCCATTTAGACCATCTTTTTAGTTTAATCCAGATTGGTTCATTCTGGTCCAAAACCAGTTCAAATTTCAGTGTAGAGAACTGATCATGGTTCATTTAGAGTGGGCACTTTAAAAGGATTTCGACCAATTTAAACCAGTTCAATCAGTTTGGGTTAGACCCGTTTAGACCATCTTTTTAGATTAATCCAGATTGGTTTATTCTGGTCCAAAACCAGTTCAAATTTCAGTGTAGAGAACTGATCATGGTTCATTTAGAGTGGGCACTTTAAAAGGATTTCGACCAATTTAAACCAGTTCAATCAGTTTGGGTTAGACCCGTTTAGACCATCTTTTTAGATTAATCCAGATTGGTTTATTCTGGTCCAAAACCAGTTCAAATTTCAGTGTAGAGAACTGATCATGGTTTGTTTAGGGTGGGCACTTTAGATGGATTTTGACCAATTTAAACCAGTTCAATCAGTTTGGGGTAGACCCGTTTAGACCATCTTTTTAGATGAATCCAGATTGGTTCATTCTGGTCCAAAACCAGTTCAAATTTCAATGTAGAGAACTGATCATGGTTTGTTTAGGGTGGGCACTTTAGATGGATTTTGACCAATTTAAACCAGTTCAGTCAGTTTGGGTTAGACCCGTTTAGACCATCTTTTTAGATGAATCCAGATTGGTTCATTCTGGTCCAAAACCAGTTCAAATTTCAATGTAGAGAACTGATCATGGTTTGTTTAGGGTGGGCACTTTAGATGGATTTGGACCAATTTAAACCAGTTCAATCAGTTTGGGGTAGACCCATTTAGACCATCCTTTTAGATTAATCCAGATTGGTTCATTCTGGTCCAAAACCAGTTTAAATTTTTAGTGTAGAAAATTGATCATGGTTCGTTTAGGGTGGGCACTTTAGATGGATTTTGACCAATTTAAACCAGTTCAATCAGTTTGGGGTAGACCCGTTTAGACCATCTTTTTAGATTAATCCAGATTGGTTCATTCTGATCCAAAACCAGTTCAAATTTCAGTGTAGAGAACTGATCATGGTTCGTTTAGGGTGGGCACTTTAGATGGATTTTGACCAATGTAAACCAGTTCAGTCAGTTTGGGTTAGACCCGTTTAGACCATCTTTTTAGATTAATCCAGATTGGTTCATTTCGGTCCAAAACCAGTTCAAATATCAGTGTAGGGAACTGATTATGGTTTCTTTAGGGTGGGCACTTTAGATGGATTTCGACCAATTTAAACCAGTTCAATCAGTTTGGGTTAGACCCGTTTAGACCATCTTTTTAGATTAATCTAGATTGGTTCGTTCTGGTCCAAAACCAGTTAAAATTTCAGTGTAGACGACTGATCATGGTCCGTTTAGGATGGGCAGTTTGGACCCATTTCCACCATTTTAAACCAGTTCAGTCATCTAGTCCAGTTAAGAGGGTACAGACCAGTTTAAATCTTTATAACCAGTTGATACCAGTAGGGGGCGCTGCCAGAGTTGGAACTGATCACATTCTTGTACTACAGACTCCACATTGGTCGGGGGGTCCAGCTCGAGTGTCAGGGGGAGGGGGACGTCTGGATGCGTTGCCTTAGCGACCACTCTGTATTTGTTCAGAGTTATTACCTGGACCGGGAGGCGGGCCGCACACCAGGTGACGGTGTTCATAAGATCTACCCCGGAGCTTACATCAAGGTGGGTGTTTGATCCGCTACTTCCTGTTTTATATTAAACACTTCCTCGTCTCAGTCTCACCTGTCTGTCTTACCCGTCTCCCTACAGGTGTTTGACCTTCGGCAGTGCCACCGACAGATGCAGCAGCAGGCAGCCGCGGCCCAAGCAGCAGCTGAGACTCAGGCAGCCGCAGTTGTCGGTGCAATGCCTGGTCCTAACAGTGTGGGAGGGATTGCACCTGCCCTCAGTGAGTATCTCCTGCCTGAAAACATATGATGAAGCTGTACCTGAACGCCTCATCGATAACTCCGGTATAACTACTGTCAATAACCACTACCTATCTGCACCTGGATGCCTTATTATGATGTCGTTTTAAATGGCTTCTTTTGGTATGCTGGTGAAGATTCTCAGTCATTATGGGCCTGGTCATTCCAAAAAAGTCAAAAAACAATCCACTGGACTTTGTTTCCAAGTTTGAAGATGTTTTGCTTCCCATCCAGGAAGTTTTTTCAATTCAAAATGTCAGAAATAGCATTGAGTTCCAGGTTTTATTCAGCAGCCCAATAAAGCTTTCTTTTTGTTTTAAATGCATGCAAATTGAAACGGGTCCACTCCTTTGGCTTCTTTGTTAGTCTGCAATACCCCATACCTGTCTGTGTCTCTAAAAAGGGGGGTCGTTAAAGGGAAAAGCAAAGCCTACAGCCTCCGCTGTGGCTCCCGTCCGCTCCGCTCTGAGTTCCTTGGAGATCGTAGAGGGCATGCGCGAGATGATTAAATGATCCAGGGTTTCCGCATATCATTAAAAATAATTACAATTCATTAATTTTTATGGGATTTCGGTGTATACAAAACCGAAAACTGTGACCTCGAAACCGTGAACCGAACCGAACGGTGGATTTTGTGAACTGTTCCACCCCTAATAAATATGTATATATTTTTTAATTCTTCACCCCCAGGTGTTTGCTCTACCGCAGGTCCGGGCGTCGATGACTTGCGGAGGCTGTGCATTGTGAGACTGAGCTTCGTCAAAGGTTGGGGGTATGACTACCCCAGACAGAGCATCAAGGACACCCCCTGCTGGATGGAGGTCCACCTGCACCGGGCCCTCCAGCTGCTGGACCAGGTGTTGCACACGCTGCCGCCACGGGAGCTCCCTCTCTGACAGACTACTGATGCTGCTGATGACGGGCTGCAGCATCCATCATCCTACGATTAGCCCAGGCTGTGCCTCGTTCCCCTCTGCGCGGGCACCGCAGCAGCTCATTGTTTCGCAGAGAGTCTTTCAGCTAGCCCCAGGGTTTCTATTGTAACAGCATTCATGGGTCAGTTCAAACAGAAATCTGGGATCAGGTGGAATTTACAGTCAAAATCAGGAAGAAGCTCAGTGCTTTGTGTGAATTGACTCCTTAAATGCTGAGTTCATATCAGCTGAAACCAAAAAAAACAGAAGTTAATCTATGCTCATCAGGTTTGAGTTTGTATTTATTTTTATTGATTATCTACCAAAGATTCATTTCGAAATGATGACATCATATCTTACTCATATGACTTTTTTATTTTTGACAGTGTTTTATCACATTTTAAACATTTTTTTTCTATATAGAGCATCTATAACACTGTACTATTTGCTGTCTGTTCATGTCAAACATTTCAAATCCAAAATAAACCAAGTTTGTCCTGCATTAGGTGTCCTGTTTAAAAGTGATGCTAGATTGGGACACAGCCGCGCACAGAGACATCAGCTGTGTTTTATGGGTGTATTTACTAAGTAATGATGATTGGATTTTAATGAAGTCTGGTTACCAAGGAACAATTAATGGATCACTATCTATACCTAAAACACATATGTTTTTGGTGATTTAATGAATTTAGTGTTAATCAGTAAAAAAAATTAAATGCCCAAACATAGTAACCCCTCCCTCCTGCCATCTTCCAGCAGTGACGTCACGGCGCGGTAAGCCTAGCGCCATTCTCCCCGCTTTACAAGCTAAATCAATGGGAAGTACTAGACACATATGCAATCAACAACAATTATTGAAGATTTCCAGAGGACTTCACTATTGAAATTCACCAGAGCTATAGTGAAACTGACAATGCCCACGTGCATGGCGGCTGGATGCTGGAATACATCGGGTAAAAGTGAAAAAAAAAAAAAGAGTTATTCCACCTTTCTGATTCCTGATCCTCCACGGACGGGTTGGTCGTTGGATCGCCAACTTGAAGAGGGAGGATTTGCCATCCCAGCACTGGGACTTGATCAACAGCCGATACCGCACCGTGACGTCACTAACCAGTAGGTGGCAGTAGTGTTCTTTGACAAACATGGATGCCTCCAGTAAAGCACATTCACATGAAAATTAGTCTGAATTAAAAACACTGATCATTTATTGAACAGTATGTAATAATTTCTTATTTAAAGTACTTTCAGAAGTTTGAATTCTGAATATGACCCGACTTTTCCTTTAAAGTCGTAGGGAAGCGGCTGTTCCAACGGTTCCAGTTCCGAATTCTCCCGAGTGGTGCACGACTTATACGAGTGAATAAAGTGAATGTGATTGGTTGTTTATCAAGGGGGCGGGATTGTTGTGGCGGAAGGTTCGGAAGCAAGTTTGGTTGTGGCCAGTTTGCCGGAAGCATCTTGCTAACCAGTTAGCAACTTAGTGCTAGCAGGTTCCTAATGGGAAATTCCATTGGGACCAAGTAGCACTAAATTGGTGACTTAGAAACGACGCTGTCAAGGAACGCTATGGACAGCGGAAACATGCAAGAGGAGGAGAGTTTAGTGTCGGAGGTCGTGGATGACTCTCCTCCGTCATCCATTTTTTATTTAGAGGAGGAAAGCGGGGACGAAGATGTTGTGGAAGAGGACGCCAGGGCGGCAGAAGCTTGGTTTGGTGTAGAAGGCTTCCAGCCGTACATGTTTGCGCCCTTGCCTCGCAACGCTGCCAGTTCTGTTAGCTCTACGCCTGCCGAAGACACAGACGTCCATCCCCGTGAACACTGGGACGCAACTCAATGGGAAAGGAAACGATTCTGATTTCAACCGTTGCTTATATTAGATGCGACACATGATGCTACACATGACTCAAGATGTTATGACCGAAAACATTTGATTGACAGATGACCATTGATATATGATTGGCTGAATTTAGGTGTACAGGCTGACGTAGATATACGTCAGCCTGAACGCCTAAATCCGGTCAATCATTTGCTATTAGCCTGCATATGAAAATTGAAAAACCCCACAGATTTTAAGACAGGATTTTTTTTCCCCTAATAGAAATCTTCTAAATTTTTGGACAACATAGTCTAATAAAGAGTACATTCATATACATGTTTAAGCCAGAATGATTTGACATTTAAATTCCCTACGACTTTAAGCTTTTCTGAGTACTTGTTTTACACATCGTATTAATTTTCCTTCTAATAATCTCGCAGGTTGCCCCAAAACAACTTTGTCCTTTTATCCGTTTTTTTGTTCTGAAGTTTTCAAGCCACGCTTATATAGATTTAAATAGGATCTCTATGTTTCCCTTAAACACATTTTATAATCTGTTTTGATTTTGTAAACACCATAAAGAATCAATGCTCAGTAGGGTGCAGAGAGTAAACAAGGACGATTAGGTGGTTTCATAGTAACTCCTGGTCATTGTGTTAGTTGAGGTTCTTTTATGAATGGAAGCTTGTTGTTTTCAGTAAATATGGCGCCAATCGGAAAACGGGCTTGGCGCCTAAAGAGTTTAAATGTTTCATTATTCACGCCTTCTTATTTGCCCCAGTAAAGCCCCACCTTTACAGTTTGCACCAGCTACTGACAGAATAATTACATGGTGCGCCACAGGGGAGGGGCTTGTGGAGTAAAACGTCTGTTAACCAATCAGAGTACGAGCTTCTTTAGCGAATGAATATTCATAGAGAAGGGGGCGTGGTCTACTCGTGGTGGTCGCACAGCAGCGAACATGGAGGTTTAGTTGTCGTCTAATGGCCGCTGGAGAAGGAGAGCTTCACTGAGTCTGTGTTCATCCGTTTCTTAGTTATACTTTTTATTCACTTTGTTAGAACTTCACTATGGAGATGAAAAAGAGAGTGACTCTGGAGCTGAGGAACAGGAATCCCTCAGAGGTTTGTAGCAACAACAGAAGTTAATTTAATTATTCCCAAAAAAGAAAAAACAGCTGAAGGATGTAGTCGGACATTATGAATACGTTCCGCGGGAAACAGGCGTCGGTTTCTCCGCCTTTAGCTCTGAGTTCTTTTTAAAAAAGCTGACGCCGTGGCGGACCTTTAACTCGGGGGGAGGCTCGGGGTTCTGCTCCGGTCTCCGTTCACTCCGCCGCGTGCGGATGCTCTCGCTCACTTCTCGTGCCGTTGCGGGGGCTCCTCGCGTGAGCCGCCTGTGTTTCCAGCTACAAGCTAACAGGCTAACGCACCCAGAATCCGGTCCCGATGCAGACTTCCCAGGCGGGGTACAGACGACTGCTTCAGGGAAAACAAGAGCGAAAGAGTTCAGTTAATCTGGGTCGGGTTTTATTTAAGGCCGCCACCTTCGTCCTCGGACCGACTCATGTCTAATTGTAACCTTCAAACTGAAACAGTTGGATATTCTGCACGCTGTAGTGGCGCATCACACCAGACTCCATGATAAAAACAGTGACTATTGTATTTGACTGGCTGTAGACCCGGCCAACGCATAGATCCCGGGTCTAAGTGTTATAAAGTGTTTTTAATCTTTTCGGGTCCGTTCGGCTCAATTTTAATCCATCTGGAATAATTGATCTTAAAGTTTATGAACCCACAGTTCCCGCCCACCCCGCTGCTGATGCCAAACCTGCTCAGAACAGTTGGTTGGCGGCGGATTTTAAACGCCGATAAACAGACTTGAGAGAAATCTGTAACTGTTCTCAAACACCCAGATGGCTGCGGTTTGCAACCCGCTCGTTTAACGGCCTCAGCGCTCCCAGGGTCCGGTACCAGGGCGGCATGGGCGGTTCTAGAACACAGGCATCAGGGGGCCAGTGTGTTTTCATGGGGTAACAGAAAAGCATAAATAATAAAACCAAACCGGTGTGAGGGATTCAAATGTATTAAGATGGCTGCATGAAGTGAAATTTCTATTTAATTAGATTTAATACAATGTCTATGTCTTATTAGGTCAATAGAAAGAATTGATGGTGACTGAAAGAATTGATTAATGAAATAATTGTCAACTAATTTAGTACATGATTTATTGATAATATAAATATTTTGCATTTAAGGTAAAATAAATAAAAATAAAGTCCTTAATCGGCATTAAAGTTAATTAAATTATTGATTATTGTGGCATTTAAAATGCTTTATAAGAAAGAAAAAAAAAAAAAGCTTATAAAGACAATTTAATCAGATATATTATATCGCGATATATTTGTGGAAATGCTTCTGGTTGATCTTAAAGCCGTATGTTCGGAAAAGAAGCTCGAGGCGGAGAAAAAATTTAGTGCGTAATCCCAAAAAAGTTCCGTCTGCAGCCGTCCTCTCTCTACGTAGCCCTGTGTGAAGTACTGCTGGCTCTGACAGCATTTCTTTTTTTTTTTGTTTTGTTGGCAAAATGTTCATTTGTGTTTGTGTTCATTATTATTCCTGCACTTAATGAAATAAGTTAGAATGTATTATCTAGAGAATTAATAACAGGAGGTGAAATGCAGCTCCAGATTAGCTAAGCTTGTGGTGATGTCGTCAGTACACTTCTGTTCCAATTGACCCAGATTTATTCTGCATGCTAGCATTCTCCCCGAGTCCAGGCTTTCCTGAGTTCTTCTCAAGAACATACTTGGCGAGGACAGGAGTCTGTATGCCTGGCCAGGGTTTTACCCTATGAAAGGTTGAAACAATGAAACGTTAGTTTGGACAGATTTTAATAAATGAAAGCTCAGCGTTAGCTTGGCTACAGATTTTAACCAATGGAAGCTCAACATTAGCTTGGCTACAGATCTTAACCAATGGAAGCTCAGCGTTAGCTTAGCTACAGATCTTAACCAATGGAAGCTCAACGTTAGCTTGGCTACAGATCTTAACCAATGGAAGCTCAACATTAGCTTGGCTACAGATCTTAACCAATGGAAGCTCAGCGTTAGCTTAGCTACAGATCTTAAGCAATGGAAGCTCAACGTTAGCTTAGCTACAGATCTCAATCAATGGAAGCTCAGCGTTAGCTTAGCTACAGATTTTAACTAACGAAAGCTCAACGTTAGCTTAGCTACAGATTTTATCCAATGGAAGCTCAAAGTTAGCTTATCTACAGATCTTATCTAATGGAAGCTCTGTGTTAGCTTAGATACAGATCTTATCCAATGGAAGCGCAGCATTAGCTAAAGATCTTAACTAATGGAAGCTCAGTGTTAGCTAAAGATCTTAACCAATAGCGGCTCAATGTTAGCTTAGCTACAGATCTTAACCAATGGAAGCTCAGCGTTAGCTAAAGATCTTAACCAATGGAAGCTCAGCGTTAGCTTAGCTACAGATCTTAACCAATGGAAGCTCAACGTTAGCTTAGCTACAGATCTTAACCAATGGAAGCTCAGCGTTAGCTAAAGATCTTAACCAATGGAAGCTCGGCGTTAGCTAAAGATCTTAACCACTGGAAGCTCAGCGTTAGCTTAGCTACAGATCTTAACCAATGGAAGCTCAGCGTTAGCTTAGCTACAGATCTTAACCAATGGAAGCTCAACGTTAGCTTAGCTACAGATCTTAATCAATGGAAGCTCAACGTTAGCTTAGCTACAGATCTTAACCAATGGAAGCTCAACGTTAGCTTAGCTACAGATCTTAACCAATGGAAGCTCAACGTTAGCTTAGCTACAGATCTTAACCAATCGAAGCTCAACGTTAGCTTAGCTACAGATCTTAACCAATGGAAGCTCAACGTTAGCTTAGCTACAGATCTTAACCAATGGAAGCTCAGCGTTAGCTAAAGATCTTAACCAATGGAAGCTCGGCGTTAGCTAAAGATCTTAACCACTGGAAGCTCAGCGTTAGCTTAGCTACAGATCTTAACCAATGGAAGCTCAGCGTTAGCTTAGCTACAGATCTTAACCAATGGAAGCTCAACGTTAGCTTAGCTACAGATCTTAATCAATGGAAGCTCAACGTTAGCTTAGCTACAGATCTTAACCAATGGAAGCTCAACGTTAGCTTAGCTACAGATCTTAACCAATGGAAGCTCAACGTTAGCTTAGCTACAGATCTTAACCAATCGAAGCTCAACGTTAGCTTAGCTACAGATCTTAACCAATGGAAGCTCAACGTTAGCTTAGCTACAGATCTTAACCAATGGAAGCTCAGCGTTAGCTAAAGATCTTAACCAATGGAAGCTCGGCGTTAGCTAAAGATCTTAACCACTGGAAGCTCAGCGTTAGCTTAGCTACAGATCTTAACCAATGGAAGCTCAGCGTTAGCTTAGCTACAGATCTTAACCAATGGAAGCTCAACGTTAGCTTAGCTACAGATCTTAACCAATGGAAGCTCAGCGTTAGCTAAAGATCTTAACCAATGGAAGCTCGGCGTTAGCTAAAGATCTTAACCACTGGAAGCTCAGCGTTAGCTTAGCTACAGATCTTAACCAATGGAAGCTCAGCGTTAGCTTAGCTACAGATCTTAACCAATGGAAGCTCAACGTTAGCTTAGCTACAGATCTTAATCAATGGAAGCTCAACGTTAGCTTAGCTACAGATCTTAACCAATGGAAGCTCAACGTTAGCTTAGCTACAGATCTTAACCAATGGAAGCTCAACGTTAGCTTAGCTACAGATCTTAACCAATCGAAGCTCAACGTTAGCTTAGCTACAGATCTTAACCAATGGAAGCTCAACGTTAGCTTAGCTACAGATCTTAACCAATGGAAGCTCAGCGTTAGCTAAAGATCTTAACCAATGGAAGCTCAGCGTTAGCTAAAGATCTTAACCAATGGAAGCTCAGCGTTAGCTAAAGATCTTAACCAATGGAAGCTCAGCGTTAGCTTAGCTACAGATCTTAACCAATGGAAGCTCAGCGTTAGCTTAGCTACAGATCTTAACCAATGGAAGCTCAGCGTTAGCTTGGCTACAGATCTTAACCAATGGAAGCTCAGTGTTAGCTTGGCTACAGATCTTAATCAATAGAAGCTCAGCGTTAGCTTAGCTACAGATTTTAACCAATGGAAGCTCAACGTTAGCTTAGCTACAGATTTTAACCAATGGAAGCTCAATGTTAGCTTAGCTACAGATCTTAACCAATGGAAGCTCAGCGTTAGCTTAGCTACAGATCTTAACCAATGGAAGCTCAGCGTTAGCTTAGCTACAGATCTTAACCAATGGAAGCTCAACGTTAGCTTAGCTACAGATCTTATCTAATGGAAGCTCTGTGTTAGCTTAGATACAGATCTTATCCAATGGAAGCGCAGCATTAGCTAAAGATCTTAACTAATGGAAGCTCAGCGTTAGCTAAAGATCTTAACCAATAGCAGCTCAGCGTTAGCTTAGCTACAGATCTTAACCAATGGAAGCTCAACGTTAGCTTAGCTACAGATCTTAACCAGTGGAAGCTCAATGTTAGCTTAGCTACAGATCTTAACCAATGGAAGCTCAGCGTGAGCTAAAGATCTTAACCAATGGAAGCTCAGCGTTAGCTTAGCTACAGATCTTAACCAATGGAAGCTCAGCGTTAGCTTGGCTACTGATCTTAACCAATGGAAGCTCAACGTTAGCTTAGCTACAGATCTTAACCAGTGGAAGCTCAACGTTAGCTTAGCTACAGATCTTAACCAATGGAAGCTCAACGTTAGCTTAGCTACAGATCTTAACCAATGGAAGCTCAGCGTTAGCTTGGCTACAGATCTTAACCAATGGAAGCTCAGCGTTGGCTTAGCTACAGATTTTAACCAATGGAAGCTCAGTGCAGCTCATGCTGCTGTGACGGTGACTGGTCAGTTTGTGATGTTATACAATAATTTTCTCAAACCAGTAAAGTTTGCATATCTAGTCACCCAGACGGCGTCCTGATTCCCTCACATCAGTGCTAAAAGAACTGCTGCCTAACGGGGTCTCTGCTTAGCTAAAGATCTTAACCAATGGAAGCTCAGCGTTAGCTAAAGATCTTAACCAATGGAAGCTCAGCGTTAGCTTAGCTACAGATCTTAACCAATGGAAGCTCAGCGTTAGCTTAGCTACAGATCTTAACCAATGGAAGCTCAGCGTTAGCTTAGCTACAGATCTTAACCAATGGAAGCTCAGCGTTAGCTTAGCTACAGATCTTATCTAATGGAAGCTCTGTGTTAGCTTAGATACAGATCTTATCCAATGGAAGCGCAGCATTAGCTAAAGATCTTAACTAATGGAAGCTCAGCGTTAGCTAAAGATCTTAACCAATAGCAGCTCAGCGTTAGCTTAGCTACAGATCTTAACCAATGGAAGCTCAATGTTAGCTTAGCTAAAGATCTTAACCAATGGAAGCTCAGCGTTAGCTAAAGATCTTAACCAATGGAAGCTCAGCGTTAGCTAAAGATCTTAACCAATGGAAGCTCAGCGTTAGCTAAAGATCTTAACCAATGGAAGCTCAGCGTTAGCTAAAGATCTTAACCAATGGAAGCTCAGCGTTAGCTTAGCTACAGATCTTAACCAGTGGAAGCTCAACGTTAGCTTAGCTACAGATCTTAACCAGTGGAAGCTCAACGTTAGCTTAGCTACAGATCTTAACCAGTGGAAGCTCAACGTTAGCTTAGCTACAGATCTTAACCAATGGAAGCTCAACGTTAGCTTAGCTACAGATGTTAACCAATGGAAGCTCAGCGTTAGCTTGGCTACAGATCTTAACCAATGGAAGCTCAGCGTTGGCTTAGCTACAGATTTTAACCAATGGAAGCTCAGTGCAGCTCATGCTGCTGTGACGGTGACTGGTCAGTTTGTGATGTTATACAATAATTTTCTCAAACCAGTAAAGTTTGCATATCTAGTCACCCAGACGGCGTCCTGATTCCCTCACATCAGTGCTAAAAGAACTGCTGCCTAACGGGGTCTCTGCTGGCCGGCGGGGGACCTGCGGGCCACTTTTTGAGTTGGTCTGGCTATTGAAGGGAATTGTTGGCATCATTATCAGAAAGCAAAAGGTTCTGGTTATGATTGATTAAGTTCTGATCCATGTTGTAGGGGTATCTGATTGCTTGGAGCGAGTTAATGGGATCTTTGCCTAAAAGGTCCGGGTTCTTCATTATTTCCTAAACTGCTGCATTCTGCCCTCATCATGTCTCAGTCCGAAACCAGCCCTTTTTGGTCGTGATGCTCAGAATGATGTTTTCTGTTGTCTTCAGGTGGTGGAGCTGGTGGTGGACAACTGTCGCTCTGCCGACGGAGAGGTGGAGGGTCTAACAGACGAGTTCTCGGCGCTGGAGATCCTCAGCATGGTGAACATCGGACTCAGCTCGCTGGCCAAGCTGCCCTCTCTCCCCAAACTCAGAAAGGTCGGTCCTCCAGAGCGGAAAGGTTCTGAAGCTGCGAAGTAGCTCAGACTGACCTGAACTGTGTGTTTCAGCTGGAGGTGAGCGATAACTCCATCTCCAGCGGGTTGGACACTCTGGCGCAGAAATGTCCCAACCTGACGTACCTGAACCTGAGTGGGAATCAGATCAAGGAGCTGAGCAGCATCGAGGGACTGGTAGGTTCTCACTCTCTGACCGTTCCATCACTGGTAGAATTTGGTAAACCGGAGCTCCAACACGGCCATGGGTCCAAATGCTCACCAGCTAACAGGCTGAGTAAGGAGCCACATCCTGGTCCACTGGACTCTCAGATCCGGGTTCTTTTAAAGTAGTAGGGAAGTCATATTTAAATGTCAAATAATTCTGGCTTAAACTGTATATATTGTCCTAAAAAGTTTTTTTTATCATTATTTTATGCAGGCCAGTTAGTTCTACGTCAGCCTGAACACCTAAATTCGGCCAATAATATATCAACGGTCATCTGTCAATCAAATGTTTTCGGTCATTCATATGTTTTGGTTGCGTCATCAAACGACTGCCGGTCATTTTATTGCTTAATCCTGCTGTGTTTTCACCCTGCAGCAGAACCTGAAGAACCTGAAGAGTCTGGACCTGTACAGCTGCGACATCACGGCTGCAGACGACTACAGGGAGAACGTCTTCGAGCTGCTGCCTCAGCTGGTCTACCTGGACGGCTTCGACCAGGAGGACAACGAGGTGCCGGACTCTGAGAACGGTGAGCCTCGGTTCTGATCCAATGGGCCTTCAGAACGTCTGGTGCTGTTTGGACGTAAGTCAGGCAGTTGGATAAACGATGTTCCGTCTCAGACGAGGACGATGAAGCCGGGCCACCTGGAGATGACGACGACGACGACGAGGATGAGGAGGATGATGAAGATGAGGACGGCTCCGAGGGAGACGAGGTGGGCCTGTCCTACCTGATGAAGGAGGGGATCCAGGTGAGTCTAAGGGGGGTACGGCCACTAGGGGGAGCTCCTCTCCTGTTTCTGATTCACCCTCTCTGTTTATCAGGATGAGGAAGATGATGGAGATTATGTTGAGGAAGAGGAAGATGATGAGGAGGAACAAGATGGAGGTGGGTTCTCTTAAGAGAACGGCTGGTTCTCCCTGTGGGCAGAACATCAGCCTGAACATGGAATGTTCCAGAACCGAGCAATAATACTGACCCCTCGGCTGCAGCTCTGAGGGACAGAACCGCACACCGTCACCAGAGGGAGCTGCTAGTCAGCAGAAGGGATCAGTGTGGCTGCATGTTTAGGGTGATGGAGTGGCATGATCTGCATGGAAGTGGGCGTGGCCTGCAGGGAAATTCTGACAGATATGATTCACTAAAAGGAAGGAAACCTTTTTTCTCAGGTTCGCTCGTGTGTTTCTGCTCCAGCATGATTCCTGTTTCCATTGATTCTGCAGATCATACAGAAATAATTTGATTTTATACAAAGAAATTTTTTCCAATGTTACAGAAAACCAGCTTGTTGAAAGAATTTGAACAAAATGTATTTTTAAAAAGTTTCAATTAGATGGAATGTCTGTAAAATTCAGCCCAAGTTTCCCCAGGTTGCTTCTTTCTTTCATTTTTTCAATTTTATTTACCGGTTTTATTTTTTACATTTTTAGGTGCAGGACGGCAGAGTTTTTATTCTTTTAAGATCCAACTTTCTGCTTTGTGTGGACCTTAGCAACAGCATTTCTATCGGACGGCAGAAGGAAAATCTGTAAACCAGGATTTACAAAGAATGTAATTTGTAAAACTCAGTATCGCTGACAAAATTATAAACTTCTGGAAAAAATGTTTAAAAGGTGAAGTTTGAAAATCAAAATCTGAAGTAAAACTGCAAATATATCGGTTATCAGCTTGATAACAAATATATTTGATCGGTTCTGGGCGACAGAACACGGCCAACCCGAGTTTGAATCTGACCTGTGGTCCTTTGCCGCATGTCTCTCCCCCACGCTCATATCCGCTTTCCTGTCAGCCTACTGTCGGAGAAAAAAAAAGAGCCACTAGAGCCGTAAAAACAAACCAAAAAAAAATAATTTATCAAAGCAGTTCCAAAGAACTTTCAGGTTTGGTCGATTTTTGCTCCCCCCAGTGGACAAAAGCTGTATTGTTTTGCTTGAGGGAAGATGGCATTTCCCATGAGGACAAAATCCAAGACAAAATATGTTCGATTTTATTATCCTGGTGCCTGCAATTTGGATTACGTACGTGAAAAAATGCTAACATCTCCTCCAGTCGCCACGAACAGTAGCAGAAAACCGCGAAGAGGCGACTGGGGTCGGGGGCTAACGTTGAACGGGCTCCGACAGCGAAATATTTGAAGGCAGGATGGTAATCTGGATGAACTGACTGCACAGACAATGTTTTCAGGTGGACTTTCTCACTTCAAAATATATTAAAACTAATTTTTACCCTCTGATCACAGCAAATATAGCAGAGCCGCTCTCTTCCATTGAACACAGGAGCAGCAGAAGCTTCAGATGCATCTGGACACATTTTACTGGATGTCTGACCTTAATGTGGATCAACAAATAGAGTCCTGCACGGGTCGAGTTTTACCAATCCGCACCCGCCCGAACCCGTTAGGATGACTACCGAACCCCACCCGTCACCCGCGGATATCTTCAATTCAAATCTGAACTCGACCTGACCCGTTGATATTTAACCCGCAACCCGACCCGTTAACCCATCAAGTAATAGGCTATAGTACGCTGCACTGCAGAACAAAGCCATTAACACTGCAGCAGACGTGTTTGCACTGACTGTGGCCTTTTTGGAAGGAAGCCCACACTGCCGGCAGGGCTTTAAAGGAATAGTACACCCAAAACATGATTAGCCTTCATTTTCTACTCACCCCCATGCTGAACAACACTCTGGAGTACTTTTTTGATATCTCAAATGCATCTGGAGATCTGGGAGGCTTCTTGCTGTCTGCTGACATTCAAATAATGGAGGTCTATGGCGCCCGAGGCAGAAAGGTCCATAAAAGTCCACAAAAAACGTGTCAATATTCCTCCATACTGCTCGTCCAATGTATTCCAAGTGTCCTGAGTGGGTAGCGTCCATAATTTACTCGAAACGAAGTCATTTAGAATGTTTTTAGAGCATAAACAGTAGTGTATAGGATTTCCTAAAAGCGCGCGCCTGCGCGTTCACGGCGCTACGGAAGCCGGCAGACCAAACCAGATGAAAGTGCGCAAAGGGTGACCCCATTGCCTGATTAATATAACATTTCTGATGTCCATAACAACACACACGCATAAAAAAAAAATCAACTATCCGCCCGCACTAAAAAAATATCCACCCGACCCGTTTATTTTTATTTATGTATTTTTCACCTGCAAAAGAGCATTTTAGCGGGTGACCCGTCGGGGACCCGTGGGTACCCGACCCGTTGCAGGACTCTATCAACAAGCATCAAAAATCAAGTTGCGCGCGTGTTTGCTGTCTCTGGTGCATATGGTCTGAACGTAGCATCATTTGGCAGATTGGGCCATCCTGTCCCCCCCCCCCGCCCTCTTTATAACCCAGCCAGGCCTTCCTGAGCAGAAGGTGTCGCCATCAAGTTACCAATCTTTCCACATTAAATATTAGCTTGGTCCTTTTCTTCCTGAGCTGGTGTTGAAGGGTGCGATTAAACATGATTGCCACTACCTGATCCATCCTGCTCATGCGCCATCTGCCCATTCAGTGCGCATCTAGATATACATTCAGGTCGCCCTCGATTTTATTTTGTTAAAAAAAAAACTAAATGACCTTTTTTCCATCCTCAAAAATAGTTGTCGTACTAAACTACAATGTGTTAAAGGTTAATAGTGTCTTTCCTGTGATAAGGTAAGGATTTTAAGGCATTTGTTTTTTTTTCCTCTCATCTCTGTCCAATCTGCACCGTAAATTGGTAATCCTACGCTACTTCCAGGAGCTAACTTTTTTGGGTTTGGATTTAAACATAAATCTAGTCTTTTTGAGTTTTATTATTTCCTTTTGTGTTAACATTATGCTATACAGTGCGTAATCTAAAGAAAGAAACAACTAAAATGCAGATAAACATGGTTTAATCATATTTTGCCGGACTGCTCTGAGTATGTCCCATGATGATGAAGCTGTTTAACGAAGAAAATGGTATTCTTTTGAGGGTTAAGGATAAAAATAAGTAATTTTACTACCATAATGCCATTCTTTATGGACACCCGGATGTATATCTGTTCGCGCTTGCGCCGTGCGCAGCCTCGAACTGGTAATCTGTGATCCCAGGCCTTTGCCCGGTGGGCCAGTCCTAATTTCAGCATGGCAAAATCATACGGGCCCCAACACTTACTTTCCAGCCGAAACACCTACCTGCGACAGTAAATAACTCAATGAGCTCAAGAAGTAATACAATGGCCGTTTCTCAATATGTGTACTTGTGCGTTCTCATGTGCTCATGAAACGTCATCAGTCTCAGCCCTAGCACTGTCCCAGTTCACAACAACAGCAGACAGAGACCAGTTAAAGTCCCTGGATGTTGTTCTGGCCCCTCACTCTTTACCCAGCATGCATCAGAGCACATTTGGCCATTTTTTAGATTGACAGCTGTCCCAGCATGCACTGCGGCAGCAGCAGCTTCCAGGTTAGCGCTCACAGAGCTCAGGGAATTACGTTAAAAGTTCTTTGCTGTTGTTCAATAAAAGTATGTTTTAAGATAATTTGAGTTGAGAACGTTATACTTTAAAGAGTCACTACATGGTCCATTTCTGATTCAATGCGTCATAAAAAAAAAAAAAAAAATTCTGAAGTTGAGGGTACCGCGGCAACCAGCAGACCTCTGAGGCTAACGGCAGCTAGGGCTAACGTTAGCCCGTCTGCAGCAGCCCTCTCTCTGCATAGCCGTGTGTGAAGGACTGCTGGCTCTGATGGCGATATTTTTGTTTTATTTGGCAAAATGTTTATCTGACTGTGTTCATTATTATTCCTCCACTAAATTAAATACGTTATAATGTATTATTATCTAGAGACCTTTAATAACAGAAGGTGAAATGCAGCTCCAGACGAGCCGAGCCTGTGATGATGTCATCAGTATGCTTCTGTTCCAGTTGACCCATATTGATGCTGCGTTCTCCCGTTCTCCCAGAGTCCATATTTTCCCGGATTCTTTTCCAGAACATACCTGTCGAGAACACGAGTCTGTACTCACGTTCTAGTGAATTGAAAAACGGCCAATGTTAACTACCTAAATGATGCATGCAGTATATATAACCCTTCCTTGTCATGGACGTCCTAGTGACGGTTGGCATATGGTGTCATTTTCTATTTCTTCAAACTGTAAAATCTTTGCAACAAACTAAATTATAAAAAACTAAAATGCTTTCTTTAAACCAAACTACGATGTTCTTCTTATTTTTGGCGAATTTATGTTCAAATATTTTGCATAAATATGTTGCGGTGCCGGGGCGGAAAATCGTGCCGGATTGTCCTTTCGGGACGGATCGGGAGCGACGGTGTTCCTCGAGTATTGAAGAATCCTCAGGTCGGCGCCATCTTCAGTTTGAGATTCAGTTAGCTAGCTAGTTCAGTGTTCCTGGTACCAGTGTTTAGTGATTGCTGAACCGGACTGCTGGTTTCAGGGAGGCACCTGTCCTCACGTGTCGCCATGCTGATTTAAATTAGTCATGTTTACGATGAAGCTACTGGTTTATTTTTTCACATAAAAACTTTAAACGTTTTGTTTTTTTGTCTCTTTCTACAGAGGAAGACGGAGCTGCCGCTCAGGGCGAGAAGAGGAAGAGAGACGCAGACGACGAAGGCGATGACGACGACGATGAATAGAGGGAACAACTGGCCCCGCCCTTACCTGCTGACCCCTCCCCCATATTTGGCCATTGCCTCAGAGATGCAGACGATCAGGAAGTCCTGGGATCAGGTTTACAGCAGGGCTGATGAAGTCTTTACCATGCCAACCTGACAGGAAGCTGTGAAGGTGACCTCCAGTCTGAGCCAACTATATGAAAAAAAAACTGTATTAAAATAAAATGCAGAAGAGAAACAATCTGCAGCAGCAGATCCTGGACCAGCGAGTCCTGGTTGTGACATAAATCTGGATCCGGAGCGATTAAAGTTGCTGAGGTTGTTTCTTTAAAAGCTCAAAGTTGATTGGTTCTCTCAGACTGACCTCATCTTCCCAGAAACTCTCCTCTTCTTCCAATTAAACCAGTTCAGCCCTTCTAAGACCACATTACCCACGATCCTCAGATCTGACTGGTATCGAGCTCTGCTCTCTGATTGGACGCCACTCTGGGACTTTGTATTGGACTGTTACTGACAAGCCCCGCCCCTCTCCCTGCTGTCCGGTCGTGTAAATATCCGTGAAGCGGTCCCTGTAGGTTCTGTGATGTCGTCTCTTTGAGTTCGGAGCGGACGCTCGGCTTCTCTGACGTAATTTTATTTTTTTATTCCTGTCTGCTGACGGTGTGTCGCTGTAACCGGAGTGTTTTTGAATAAAACCACTGAAACCAAAACCTGATCTGAAGCTTTTTACTCGTCCAGAACTCAGAGGCAGAATCTTTAAAGGAAATGTTCAGTCACATTCAGAATTCAAACTTCTGAAAGTTCTTTAAATCTGAAATGATTCCATCTTGTTCAATAAATGATCAGTGTTTTTAATTCAGAGTAATTTTCATCTGAATGTGCTTTACTGGAGGCATCCATGTTTGTCAAAGAACACTACTGCCACCTACTGGTTAGTGACGTCACGGTGCGGTATCGGCTGTTGATCAAGTCCCAGTGCTGTATCTGGTGTTTGTCACAACGCGCTATTATCCAAGTCATCTTGAAAACATTCTTCTTCCAAATGTTGGCTACATATTACGGGTTTTTTCTCTGGCCAGAAGTTCGATGGCAAATCCTCCCTCTTCAAGTTGGCGATCCAACGACCAACCCGTCCGTGGAGGATCAGGAATCAGAAAGGTGGAATGACTCTTTTTTTTTTTTTCACTTTTACCCGATGTATTCCAGCATCCAGCTGCCATGCACGTGGGCATTGCCAGTTTCACTATAGCTCTGGTGAATTTCAATGGTGAAGTCCTCTGGAAATCTTCAATAATTGTTGATTGCAGATGTGTCTAGTAGTTCCCATTGATTTAGCTTGGAAAGCGGGGAGAATGGCGCTAGGCTTACCGCACCGTGACGTCACTGCTGGAAGATGGCAGGAGGGAGGGGTTACTATATTTGGGCAAAAATGGCCGCTCCCAGACTCTGTGATCGCAAGGAAATTAAAAATTTTTTTTACTGATTAATGCTAAATTCATTAAATGACCACTAACGTATCAGTTTTAGGTATAAATAATGATCCATTGATCATTCCTTGCTGACCGGACTTTTCCTTTAAGACTATACAATCGTTGCATCAGCTTCCAGTTCTATTGGAGACTAACCAGATAAATGATGTTTCTGTTTTTATCTGCACTACAGTGATTGGGATGCAGGCTGTGTTAACTGTCACTGATGTGTAACCTGCTCATTAACTCAGTCAGTTATCCTTTTTCACTTCGTTTGGCGTCTCTTTCATGCCACCACCATGTTTGACTTTATTATTTTCCTCTTCATATTTCTGTTGAGTTTTTGTTCCTGACAGGAGAAATGTGGCGCTCTCCCTTCTGTGATTGGTCTGCTCCCTTCAACCCGCCCCTTTATAAAGGCGCGTTCACAGATTCCTGATCAGTCAAAGCTGGATGGACTTGGTGTGTTGATAACCAGCTTTATGGTACCACTGTCATCATTGTGAACTGGTTAAACTGGATAGACTGGGGGTAATCCCACTGCGTGGGACAGGCCTCGTGTTGTGTCCTGCCGTTTCTTTTTTCCTTCCACTCAGTTTTCCATCATTATACTCTGGTATAGAGCCGTGGGAACACGCTTGGCGAGGACATGTTTCTTGTGAATTGAGAAACGGCCTTGAACTTGCTGAAGCAGGCTGTGCTTTGCTAACCTGCTGAAGATGACCATGACATCAGAGGACAACCTGTCTCAGGATCATCTGAAGGTTTATGTCAATCTTTTGCTTTAACCAAAAAAAACCTATGTGAAAAATTATCATTTTATAATTTTTTTAATGAAGTTTTGACAGCTAGCATGAAGCATCTTTGAGATCTTAAATGTCTTTTTAGTCGACTGAATGTCAGTAATGTTCACAGTGATGTAAAAAAAAATACCTTTTGTGTGAGAAAATAATTTATGTTGATGTAAAATGTTTGAAAACTAGTTTGTGCTAGCTCTATTTTTTTAAATGCCCTGAAAATATGGTTAGTCTACTTCGATATGTTAAAATCCATTCAATTCAGTTTATTTCTATAGGACCAATTCACATCACATCATCTCAGGTCACTTTCCAGTTCACCAGATCATCCAGTCAGATTGATTCAAAGTTTTCTATCTAAGGAAAACCAGCTGATTGCATCGACTCATTGACTCTTCAGCAATCCCTCACACTAAGCATGCTTGAAGCGACAGTGGAGAGGAAAAACTCCCTTTGAACAGGAAGAAACCTCCAGCAGAACCAGGCTCAGTGTGAGCGGCCATCTGCTGAGGCCCACTGGGGTTCAAGGAGACAGAAGCAGACATAGAAAAAGAAGCATAGATACAAAAGGCAACTGTCAACCAGCTCCACATGCGGCCCCGTCCAGGAAACACACAGCCAGGCAGACGAGCTCCGAGCCAGCTCCCATGTCAAAGGACGAAGAGAGCACATTCAGTTAGTCACAGTCAGAGAAACAGGACTACACTGGAAAACAGGCCAAGCTCCAACATCTAGAAACAAAGGTGTTGATGGCAGCAGCACAGCTGATATTTCTCTCCAGGATGGAGTCACAGCCAAACAGGAACAGACCAGATGAAGCTACTATGAGAAAAAGCAGAGAGAGCAGAACGTTAGAGATTGAACTGATCACCATGTTGGTGACATTAAATATGTTCTTCTTTAGCTAAGATTATTTAGAGCAGCAATCTTCAGAGTTTTCCAAATCTTATATCTTCTGAACAGCAAAAGAGAACCAGAACGGACTCATAACCTAAAGTCAGTGGACGAAAATATTTCTAAAATATCTTTTGACCCTAATAGTAACACAAACACTATAAACAACCTATGTGTTTTTCCATTTGTAAGGAATGATTTTATATCTCTAAACATTTTAATCTCTGTGGAGGTTATCCAGGCTGATTACTTGTTAAAATCATTACGGAATTCCTTTTTGTTGTAGTTAAACATCATTTTGTTTTTAGCTGGAAATATGAGTGAATGTGTTCAATCAACGCTTAGCTAAACGCTAAATTCATCAGTTGATGCTTTTTTTTTTTTTATATTCTTTGAATTTTTTTTACTTTTTATGAGGAAATGTCAGTTATCTGTCATAATGTGAAAGTTGTTGAATTTTCTTCCATCGGTTTGGCTTTCAGCAGGTTTATTTTCCACATTCTGTTCAGATTTCAAACTTTCCCCGCAGCTGCAGTTGCTTGGTTTGGCCTGCAGAGGGCAGAGCTGCTGCATCGTTAACGCCGCTTTGTTTCCTTCACCTCGTAACCATGACGACGTCTCCTGGGTCACAGGTGGTTCAGGGCCGCTCTGAACGAGTCCTGTAGAGATGTAGGGAATAATTCAGGTAATCTCTGAATTAATTCCAGCTCAGAACCTGGAACAGTTCCGATTAAGATTAGCTGTTCAGGTAGTTGATGACGTAGCTTCCTCATATCACGACAGGAGTGCTCACTCACACACAAAGCACGTTTCTCTATCCCCGTGGGGACTTTGAATTGACTTCAATTACCGGTAATTCTAACCCATTTCTACAGTCTAACCATTACGGGTTAATACCTAAGCCTAATCCTGATCTAAGATCTATTCACACCTTAATCCTAAACCTAACAGCATTTTATTTCATTATAAAAACGCACCACCCCACACACACACATACCTGTTCTGCTATACATAGTGAGGACCATGTGTTATCTCCCATTGATTTTTTTTAACCCTTTCTATGCCCTAACCCTAAAACTAACCATTCCCAATGCATACCTCACCCTAACCCAATTAACTCCTTAGCCTTAAACCTAACCATTAGCAAACTAGCATGCATGGACCAGCAAAATGTCCTCACTTTTCAACAAATGATCCTCAGTCTGATCGTGAAATTGGAAAAATGGTCCTCACTCTGAGGGCTAGACAGGCACACACACACAGCTGTGTTTTCATGACATATGGGGACATTTTATTGACCTGCATTCATTTTTAATGGCCTTACCCAGACCCTAACTATTACCAATATATACCTAACCCCAACTCACTGGATAGTACTGAAACCGTATGGGAACCAGTTGCATGTCCCCATGTGTACCTGTAATTTCCACATGTTGGATATTTTAGAAAATACAGCACCCACATTGTTGGTAAAACAAGACCACACACACATGCACACGCCATCCCACATAAGATTAAGCTTCCTGTTCTCCTTATAAGGCAGACCAGACACTGATCTGTGATCCTGCAATGACTTCATCACATTTTTTATCACCTTTACCCTTTAGTGCATGTGGAAAGTAACAAAAGTAACACAATATCTCAGTTTTCAGTCTCTCAACAAATTGTAGAACTTAACTCAGCTCTACACAGATCAGTCTGGCTGCTGCCAGGTTATGTAGAAAGTATTAAAACTTAAAGTGATCAGACAGCTGAACTGTCGAGAAAACTCTAAAACGTGTCAGACTGCATCACAGTGATAACATCAAGCCACAACATTTCACAATTTATATTTAAGGCTCTGAACTTCCTTATCGGTGTGTTATTTTGTAGCATGTCTTTTCTTCCACACTGTTTACATTTGATCACTGCTGCACTTTAAAAGGAAATTTAATTTTGTATATACTTTGTGTGTAAAAAAAAAAATGACAATAGTTGTCAAAGTCTAAGGAAAATGAGGAAAAAAAACTGGATGGAACTGGTAAAGCGTATTTCCCACTCCTGAACGAAAAAAAAAAAATTATTTCAGTTTAGCCCCGCCCCCTGAAGCAAAAACAGTGCCAGCTTGTAGCGACATCATAGCTGCTGGAACTCTGCAGTGACGTTGGAAGCATCTCTCTTTGAAAAAAATGCTGCATCTAATCTGGTTCCGTCTCAGCTAAGGTCAGAGGTCAAGATTGTAAGGAAGAGGCAGAACTAGGTTCCATGGGAGGGGTCAGAGGTCAAGGCCCGTCTCACAATTGCCAAAAAACATCTTAAAGGGCATCAGGATTCATTTGGGAACTGATAAGAGCAAAGTGGATCCTTACTGGAGGCGTCATCCTGTTAGAATCTGGATTAAAACCTTTTTAGAATCCTACCAACCAAACATAGTGGTGGTAGAATGATGCTCTGGGACGGATTTCCTGCTTCAGAACCAGGATGTCCCGCTGGAGGGAACCATTTATTCTGCTCTCAGTACTATTCAGCCTGGGGGGGGGGGCAGATGTCCCAGTTTCAGCAGCTGTTGTCCCCTGACGTGTTTATAAGCAGTTGCTTTGTTTCCTGATCTCCTCATCCAACAAACAAATCAGCTGCACCTGTTCCCTCCACTCACCTGAGCCCATCATGGTTGCCGTAGAAACAGACGTAAAGAAATTTGCATCCAGTTTGAATACTAAAAATGTCATACTTGAGTAACACGCAGACCGGTTTTAATCCAGAGCACACACTTAAACCGGCTTAACAAAAGCAATGTGTAAACACGCTTTGATCCAGTTTAGACATCAGTTTCATTCTATTCAAAGCACAACTTGATCCAAATGTGACAGTTGATCACTTGAAAAGCCGTTTTAGGTTTGATTTTTAATTAAAAAGTCTAATCTAGTTTTGATCCATCGTAAATATATCAGATTGGAGATTCGTACAAACCAGTGGCTTCACACCAGTTTGACATATACCAAATTAAAATTTAGCTAGAAATTAAATTTTAATTTAACCAGATTCCAGTTTATATCAGTTTGGGTTATTTTGCTGTCTTTAAACCTCTTAAACCTGGGATCCAGTTTATAATAGATCAATCCAGATTAGACCCAGCCTAAACTGGTTTATATTCAGTCGGAACCGTATTTCTACGAACTTTGAGTTCTTATGTATCTGAGAGCAGGTCATCATTAAATAGGAAAGTAAATCATATCGTATTTCATCACCTCATACTCTGATGACCACTAAATAAGACTGTTGCCATGGTAATCACAATATTTAGCTTATATGTTAACATTAAACAGACGTGTCAAAGAAACTAAAAAAACAAAACAGAAATGTTCTACTTCAATCTAAAAATAACTGCAAGAAAAACTTGATCGGGATTAAATTTAGAACAATTAAAGATAACCCCCCCCCCAACACAGAGCTTTGTTTTCATGACATATGGGGACCTTTCATTTTCTATGGCCTAACCCAGACCCTTACCTTAAACTATTACCAACATATACCAAACCAACTCAAAGAACAGAATTTAATGTCTCCATATTTATATTTTAAAAAATACTTCCCCCACATTTAGACCACAAACACACACAAACACCCAGACGGGTGTTAAGAAGTTTCTCGTTTGCGGTGCAGTGAGACTCCACACATTCAGGTTCAGTTTGCAGATTTTATTTTAGCACATGAGCAGCTCATGACACAGCTTCTCCAAAGGACTCGCCTCATGTCTCTGCTGAACTACGTCTCCCACAATCCCCTGCAAAAGTTTAAGGCTACAGCAGCAACAGTTTCCTGCTGCTACAGAAACACTGTTTCAAAGACGGAAAAGACATTTAAAAGAAGATTCCAGCGTTCTCGACCAACACGACCCAGACGGAGTCCGACTGCAGGCTGAGTTCTGTCTGGTTCCGGTCTGAACCCAGATCCAGTTGGAACCAGCTTGGTCCTGCTCTAACTCTGACCCGTTCTAGTCTTGTTCCACTCTGATTCAGTGTGAACAGGACCAGTCTGGTGCAGTTCTGCTCTAGTTCCAGTATGACCCAGTCGGATTCCAGTCTCAATTCATTTCCAGTCTGGTCCCATTCTGACCCAGTTGGATCAGTTCAAGTAAATAAAACTATTTAAAAATTAAAATAAATTTGCTCCTAACTGTTTTGTATCAGAACCTTTTACAGAACCAGTGAGTCCAGTTAAGCTCAGATCTGAAGTGAATCAGAACCAGTAGCTCACTGGTTTCCTTCAGAACATTGACAGATCCAGCTTCAGTTCCACATGGTTCCATTGTTTGGTCGGTTCTGACCCGTTGGGTCCGGTTTAAGGTCCCCCTGAGTTACCAGCTCTGAAGGAGAATCTGTGAAGCTCAGTCCGACGTTGTACCGATAAATACGGGACCAGCTGGTCCAAACAGAACAAAGGCTGCTGGTTTGTTTTCAACTGGGTTTGAATCTGATGGAACCAAATAAACTGAACTGGACTTTTTGTCCTGTTTTACTGTAAACGGGGCGGAGCCGAGTTCCAACCCCTGAGGAACGTTCTAGAGGACATCAGGGTTCTAAAGGAATCCACAGCCTCCAGAATCTGCTGGTACCGCCCCGGCTCTGAAAGCAGTAAATCCAGTGAAGAACTGCTACACGGAGATCCAAATGATTCCTACAGGATAAAACCGGGTTTTAGGTCCAAACTCTTGGGTCGGTTGGCACATTCAGTCAGACCAGCGGGAAGCATCAGGGTCTGGTTCTGAAAGAACTTCCTGTTCTGAGCAGAACCTTTAAGCACAAAAAATAACAGATCAATTAAGTTCTATTCTGTTCTACGGAAAGCCCTATGGGCCAAAATTCCACCGCTCTTTCCCAGTTATTCCCCACTATGGAGTATCAGGTCCAACCCAGAAGAGCGGAACCAGGACTTTTTCCCAGATGCTCCAGCAGGGACAACCAACCTCCTGCACGTGATCCGAAAGGATCCCCAGGACCGTGTCTTAATGGTTCAGAACCACATCCAGAACCACAATGTTAAGATATTTACTTTCATGATTTTTTCTTCCGTAGTAAAATGAAGAAATAAATCTGCTGGTTTTTCTTCGGAATATTCCGGAGCTCCCAGCAGCTGTCTGTCGGTTCTGAATCAGTTTGGGTTTGGATGAGTTCAGCAACTGGACCGAAGCAAAAAATAATAATAAAAGCAGCATTTAAATAATTTTCGCTCCTACAGAAGCATCAGAACAGTTTGGTCGCCCGAACCCGGATCACCTCAGAACCTCAGGTCCACATTTGACCCGACCCGCTGAAACCTGAGGAGTCACCTGACAGACAGCAGGTACCCAGAGAGGTCAGCTGGACAGTAGGTCCAACAGAACCGGAGCAGCTTATTCTATGAAAACAGAACCATTAGGCTCATCTGATCAGGTTCTGTTGCTTTTTCAGACGTTTTTTTTGGACCCAGCTGACCTGAAATAAGCAAAGTGGTTTTTCCAGTTTTAGGTCCCTTGGTCTGAAGTCCAGTAAGCGGTTCGGGTTTCCTGGCCGCCCCGGTTCAGCTCACTAAGTCCTCTCCCAGCCTACATCAGGCTCTTGCGGTTAGGGTTCTGTTTGGTGCTGTTGGAGGGGGAGGATCCGGGTTGCAGCTGCTGGTACAATGCCTTCAGCTCTTTGACTTCCTCCAGAACCTCCCGGGCCTGGTTCCAGGCCTCAGCGGCCTCCTTCAGGAGTCTCTCCGCCTCGGCGCGGGACCCATCCCCTGACGGTTTCCCCCCCTTCGCCTTCCCAGGCTCCGCGTCACTCCTGACCTCCGTCAGCAGCCTCTCCGTCTTCTCCAGCTTCTTGCTGATGAGCTCCTGCAGCTGGCTGATGGGCGCCGTGGTTCCGGTTGCCGTGGCGGTGGGAGAATGTGATGTCACAGGGGTTTTGTTCTTGGCACCTTTGGTCTCGGAGTGGTTCAGGATCTCGTCCATGGAGGAGCAGCGGTTTTTCTCGGCCACGCTGGGCCGTTTGTCCGGCTGAGGAGTTCGGCTCTGACCCGTTTTCTGCCACACCACCGTCTCGCGGGGAAGACTGTGAGACTTGGTGGAAGACTCGGTTGTTCCGGCCGACAGAGCGCTGTCTGTCTGGGACCTGGGACAGTCGGGGCTGAGCTGGGAGGCCGGTTTGTCCAGGTCTTGGGTGTTGAGTCCATTCTGAGACGCCGTGTCCTCCTCTTGGATCAGGTCCAGGGTCAGCATCCCGTCTGAGGAGGAGGTGGAGGCCTGAGGGGCAGAGAGAAAACGGGTCATTGGCATCTGGTTCCTAAAAAACTGATGCCCCTGAACACCCCGCACAGGTGACTCAAGCACTAATGATCACTGAGGAACCAGGAAACAGGGTTCTGATCCAGAACCTGCAGCAGTAGAAGCCAGTTTGGGTCATGTGGTCCTAATGTTTTAGCTCATCTGTTCTAGACAGATTTGGACCTAAATTAAAAAGCTGTTGGTCTCCCGTCATACTGACCACGGCCAGTAGGTGGCCTCTGGAGGGAAGGCGGCGGTTCTGAGGAATCTTGGCTCGGTCTCTGGTCAGATGGGACAGCTGTGAGTCCTCCACCAGAACCTGGAGGAAGAGGAGGAAGAGGAAGAGCAGAGCTCATTAGACTCAATCTGTTTTAAACCCCATTCCCAACCAGAACTTTTAAGCTTCATCAGAACCTCCGAATTTTACAGAATCTGGTACCAAACATGTCCGAGACAAACGCTCTGGTTCTAGTGCTGATCCAATTCACAAGAACAAGAAGACAGAGAACGGACAAAGTCCCCGGATGATGTTCGCCCCTCCTTCTTTACCCAGCATGCATCTGAGCCGACTTGTCCGTTCTTGAGATTGACAGCTGTCCCAGCATGCACTGCGGCAGCAGCAGCTTACAGGTTAGTACTATCAGAGCTCAGAGTATTAAGTTAAAGGTTCTCTTTTCTGTTGTTCAATAAAAGTACGTTTTAAAATAATTTAAGGCGAGAATATTATACTTTTAAGTGTCGCTACATGGCCCAATTACTGTAATAAAAAAAAAAAAATCCGCAGTTGAGAGGACCGCGGCAACCAGCGGACCACCGAGGCTAACCGCAGCTAACCGTTTTTTTGTTTGATTTTTGTTTATCTGACTGCGTTTATTATTATTATTCCCCGAATAAATGAAAAAAGTACGAATTTATTATGCTGATGAAGGTTCTCAGTCATCCAGGTCATAGTCATTCCGTAAAAATTCAAAAAATATCCACTGGACTTGGTTTTCAAGATTTGAAGACGTTTCGCCACCTCTCCAGGAAGCTTTCTGTCTTTCACATTTGAATTGAGAAAGCTTCCGGAGAGGTGGCGAAACGTCTTCAAATCTTGAAAACCAAGTCCAGTGGATATTTTTTGAATTTTTACGGTACGAATTTATTAATATCTAGACTATTAATAACAGGAGGTGAAATGCAGCTCCAAACAAGCTGAGCGTGTGATGATGTCATCAGTACGCTTCTGTTCCAATTGACCCGTATTTAAGTCCACACTTTCCTGCATTCTTCTCAAGAACACTTGGTGAGGACACGAGTCCGTAATCGTGTTCTAGTGAACTGAGAAACGGTCACAATCTTTGAACCTCAGAAGAACATGGCCGTTTCTCAGTTGACAAGAACGCGAGTACGGACTCGTGTCCTCGCCAAGTATGTTCTTGAGAAGAACATACTTGGAAAGAACACAAGAAAGTGTGGACTCGGGGAGAACGGGAGCACGCAGAATAAATCTGGGTCAACTGGAACAGAAGCGTACTGATGACATCATCAAACCCTCAGTTGGTCTGGAGCTGCATTTCACCTTTATAGAATAGAATTAAACTTTATTGTCATTACACTGTCAGAAGTACAAAGCAACGAAATTCACTCTCTACATGTAATCCATCCCCTTGGGGAGCAGTGGGCCGACACTGTGCGGCGCCCGGGGAGCAGTGTGGGGTTAAGCTGCTGCCGCAGTGCATGCTGGGACAGCTGTCAGTCTGGAGAACGGACAAGTCTGCTCTGATGCATGCTGGGTAAAGAGGGAGGGGCGAGAACAACATCCGAATATTCTGTCCATTCTGTCTTCTTGTGAATTGGATCAGCACTATAGCTGAGGCTGAACGCACAAATACACATAATGAGAAACGGCTCATGACTGAGGGGTAACGGCTCAGATCCACAGGGTCCAACAGGGACTGACGGGCTCTTTGGGAAACCAGATGGGTTCTGATAGGACGCCGTCTGGGCCACAGAAGAACTGGATCGAGGGTCAGAGCGTGAGCCTGTTGGTCTTAGTGACTCAGACCCGCTTTCTGGCAGAGACAGAACAGGCATGAAGACGACAGGAAGTCAGGCGCTGATGAAAACGGATCAAAACGACCTCAGAACCCAACAAGCTTCTGAGCAAAAGGTTTCTGCAGAACCTGAGAATGAAAAAGGAGGTTCTGTAGATCCAAACAGAGCTGATTAAATGAAAAGTTTGTCCACTGAGATCAGTTTAAATCCAAAAGAAAATTTTTTAGTCTGATATTTCACCGATTTTCCTGAATGTCTCTGAAGCTGTAAAAACGGTTCTGATTGGAGCAGAGAAACCTGAAAATACCACTGAGACCCAAAAAGACGGGTCTTTGTGTGCCCCTGGTTGAAGGTCCGATTCTAACCTGTGGGTCAAATCGGGGCGTGTACCTCATCCAGGATCCGGTTCTTGGCTCTGGTGATGGCTACATTCAGGATGTTGATCCAGGACTCCTTCTCCTCTGGACTCAGGGCCAAGAACACCAGATTGGGAACCTGAAACGCACAACAGAAGCAGCTAAGTCTGTGGGAGGGGGCGGAGCTTCGTCAGGTCGGCTTACAGCTGTGGAACCCTTAGTTTAACTTTTGGTTTCTGATCCGCTGTGGAACCTTTTCTGGAATATTCTAATGTTGTCTCAAGGTTCTCTTTTTAAACAAACCATTTAGTCCGGATTGACTTGATCTCGGCCGTTTGGCCTTTCTAAGCCACTGTAAGACTTTGACCTTTGACCTTGACTGGTCTTTAAGGCAGCCTACCCCAAATGGACAGGAAAAGCCTGAGCTGTTTGCTCTCTGTAGTTCAGTCTAGCTTTTATTATCTGAGGCTAATTAGTAAAGTCAAAGATTCTCTTCCTTATAACGTCCTTGAGGTTTCCATGGTTTCGTTGCCTGTAGACTGAACTACTGGACCCCCAGGTTGCTGAATCAGCCACCCTGAGGCTGTATCCTCACTGTCGGCTGCACTTTTCCTTACGAATTATTTACCATCGGCTCCAGCCACAAATCCAGGGTAGAACTCCAAGATCTCCTGATGTCCGTGAACTCGGGCTGTGACCAGGAGAGACTGATTTCAGGTCCGAGGTCCTGGAATAGTCTCCATGTTTCTATGAGATCTGCTGCGACTTTAAAACATTTAAAGTTTGTTAGATTCAGGGAAGACGACCTTTAGGCTGGCCTTTCTTTCTTACTGCTGGTTTTATTACTTATTATTTTCACCTGTCTGTTCGCTCTTAGTAGTTTTAGTTTAAGTGTTTTCATCATCATCATCATCATCATCATCATCATCATCATCATCGCTTATTTTAGAAGCACATTAAAGTAGCTAACATCTTCGGTTCATTTTAAATATCCCTTTCAGGGGTTGACGTTAAGAATTTTTACCAGTTGCCCTTTGGGCAAGTGACTTTCACATTTCATTTGCCCAGAAACTATTTTTACTTTCCCAGTATAATGTTTGATAAATATAGTTCCTAATATTCATTTTTCTATATATATCAATGAAACATGTTTGTTTTTTAAATGTTTTTTGTAATTCAGTATTTTTTAAGTTTCCAGGTTCCTGGTGTGTATCTGCATGCGTCAGATAATTTAAACTGTTGTGTGCTTGGAAAAATATAAACTATGATGTTAAAAATAAAAATAAAAACTTGACAGGTTAAAAACTTCAGATAAATCACAAGACAGAAGTCAATGTCATAAATGAATAACTTTTATTTTAGAGTCACGGTATGTTTATACAAGATAATACTATTAATATAATGTGACTTTTCTAGAGAATCATTATAAATAGTTATTTTATTCAGGGTTTCCACAGTCTGACATCATTTCAGAATTCCCTGACTTTTAACGGACTCAGGATTAGTTTTCCCTGAAAAAATAAATGCAGCAACAAGACAATAATAAGAACGTAACAGGTCACCAATCTAACATGTTTAGCTCTATAACATTTTTTTTTTTTTTTTTTTTGATAATTAATAACTGTTTATGGATGATATGAAAATGGGAAATACTTTAATACAGTTAAAGTTAATAAAATAAACAATGTTATTTAACAATAAAAAAAGAAAATATTGAACAATTAAGTAATAAAACTATCAATATTTTAGAATAAAGGAAAATACACAGCACAAGATAACAATTAAATCAGGTAAAATAACAGTAATGAGTAAATAAAAACCAATATAAAGAAATATTTTCTAAAAGCCAAGTTAAAGTGTAAGCAGTGAGTGTTTATATATTTAGGGATCTATCTTCTTTAATCATTGAAGGTAAATAGAGTCAGAGGTTTAGACTGCAGCAGAATAAGGCTGAGTCTACCAGATCTGTTTTTTTTTTTTTTTTCAACTCTTTATTTAGTCTTTTTCATAATACAAAAACAAAAGAAAAAACAAGAAGAAAAAAACAAAAAACAAGCTGGGGGGAGCATCCGTTGCCATATTTACCAAAGTTTTTTTTTTTTTTTTTTTTTTTTCCTCTTATGGTTTGGTTTTGGCCTTGAACATTGACCACTTCTGCCATTTTTTCTCAAAGTCACCTTCTTTAAGGCTCAGACGAAAAGTCAAATTTTCCATGGTGTATAGTTCATCTACAATATTCAGCCATTGTCCATGCCCAGGTGGGTCACGTTTCAACCAATTCCTTGTCAATGCCTTTTTGGCAGCAATCAGTAATATTTTGCAGAGGTAAATGTCTTTTTTTCCAATGACTTCATATGGCATAAGTCCTAGGTATACAAAGCTCGGATTTCGGGGTATAGATAAGCATAAAATTTCCTCTACTGTCTGAATGACACTGTTCCAGAATAGCTGCAGTTCAATGCATGACCAAAAGATATGGGAGTGATTGGGATCTACATGTCCACACCCTCTCCAGCATTTCTGTTGTTGCCTAAGTTGTTTTGATTTTATATATGGGGTGATAAAAAAACGAATTAGATTTTTCCATCCAAATTCTCGCCATCTTCTTGAGCTGGTTGAAGATTGTTGTGTTTTACACATGGAGGACCAGTCACTCCCAGTTAATGTAATGTTGAATTCTTGTTCCCACTTTTCTTTAACATAGAATGAATTTCTGCCATCGCATTTTTGGAGACTATTATACAACTTTGATACAATTTTTGAGGGAGTTCCACCATATGCACGTGTCAAGATTACAGGTGCTGGTCATAAAATTAGAATATCATGAAAAAGTAGATTGATTTCAGTAATTCCATTTAAAGAGTGAAACTTGTATATTATATTCATATATAACATACAAACTCATATATTTCAGATGTTTATTTGGTTTAATTTTGATGATTACAAATGACAACAAATGAAAATCTCAAATTCATCATATCAGAAAATTAGAATATTACTGAAGACCAATAAAAACAAAGGATTTATAGAAATGTTGGCCAACTGAAAAGTATGAACATGAAAAGTATGAGCATGTACAGCACTCAGTATTTAGTTGGGCCTCCTTTGGCCTGTATTACTGCAGCAATGCGGCGTGGCATGGAGTCGATCAGTCTGTGGCACTGCTCAGGTGTTATGATAGCCCAGGTTGCTCTAATAGTGGCTTTTAGCTCTTCTGAATTGTTGGGTCTGGTGTATTGCATCTTCTTCTTCACAATACCCCATAGATTTTCTATGGGGTTAAGGTCAGGAGAGTTTGCTGGCCAATTAAGAACAGGGATACCATGGTCCTTCAACCAGGTACTGGTAGCTTTGGCACTGTGTGCAGGTGCCAAGTCCTGTTGGAAAATGAAATCTGCATCTCCAAAAAGTTGGTCAGCTGCAGGAAGCATGAAGTGCTCTAAAACTTCCTGGTATGTGGCTGCGTTGACCCTGGACCTCAGAAAACACAATGGACCAACACCAGCAGATGACATGGCACCCCAAACCATCACTGACTGTGGAAACTTTACACTGGACTTCAAGCAACGTGGATGAAGTGCCTCTCTTCTTTTCCTCCAGACTCTGGGACCTTGATATCCAAAGGAAATGCAAAATTTACTTTCATCAGAGAACATGACTTTGGACCACTCACCAGCAGTCCAGTCCTGTTTCTCTTTAGCCCAGGCAAGACGCTTCTGACGCTGTCTGTGGTTCAAGAGTGGCTTGACACAAGGAATGCGACAGCAGAAACCCATGTCTTTCATACGTCTGTGTGTGGTGGTTCTTGAAGCACTCACTCCAGCTGCAGTCCACTCTTTGTGAATCTCCCCCACATTTTTGAATGGGTTTTGTTTCACAATCCTCTCCAGGGTGCGGTTATCTCTCTTGCTTGTACACTTTTTTCGACCACATCTTTTCCTTCCCTTCGCCTCTCTATTAATGTGCTTGGACACTGAGCTCTGTGAACAGCCAGCCTCTTTAGCGATGACCTTTTGTGTCTTGCCCTCCTTGTGCAAGGTGTCGATGGTCGTCTTTTGGACAACTGTCAAGTCAGCAGTCTTCCCCATGATTGTGTAGCCTATAGAACTAGACTGAAAGACCATTTAAAGGCTTTTGCAGGTGGTTTGAGTTAATTAGCTGATTAGAGTGTGGCACCAGGGGCCATCAATTTTGAACCTTTTCACAATATTCTAATTTTCTGATATGATGAATTTGAGATTTTCATTTGTTGTCATTTGTAATCATCAAAATTAAACAAAATAAACATCTGAAATATATGAGTTTGTATGTAATGTATGAATATAATATACAAGTTTCACTTTTTAAATGGAATTACTGAAATCAATCTACTTTTTCATGATATTCTAATTTTATGACCAGCACCTGTATAATCACCTCACTAATTCCTTCTGATAGGTCCCTGTTAACCTCTTTGTCGTAAAAGTGACGCAATTGTAGGTAGCGATATAGGTCTCTGTTTTCAAGATTGAATTCTTCTTTAACTTTTTTCAAATGATTTAAATATTTTCCCTTCAGTGAGTGTACATATTGCCGTAATTCCCCTCTCCATCCACCTGATAAATGTATCATCTGACCCACTGGGGCCAAAACTGGGCATTTGAGATGGCCATATTAATAATTTACTATCACCTTCAATTTTGTTTTTCTTAACGACCTCATACCATGTTTTCAAAGTTTCGCCCAGAATAGTTCCCTCCTCTTTACTATCTGTTAAAATTTTACACCCCAATTTTGCAGGGGGTGGTATTTTACCAAGATTGAATTCGATTTGCTTCCACTTTGCGCTATATGTTGGAGAACACCAATAAACAACGTATCTCAGTTGGGCCGCCCAGTAGTATTTTTTAAGGTCAGGTAAAGCAAGTCCTCCTTTTTCCTTTTCTAACTGGAGTGTTCTGAGTCTTACCCTAGGTTTAATACCCGCCCAGATAAATCTAGATAAGACCTTATTCCATGTAGAAAATTGGGTTTCTGGGATCCTTATGGGGAGGGAGAGGAAGACATATAATAATCTAGGCAGCAAATTCATTTTTATCACCTCTATTCTTGTGCTAAAATCTAAGGCCAACATTGACCAACGTGTTACATCTTTCTGAA